TTACCCCACACAAAAAACCCCCCCCCCCTACACCCCACGCAGATAAAAAAAAAAAAAAAAAAAAAAAAAAAAAAAAAAAAAGAAACAAGACAAAACAAATCAAGAGGTATTACCACAAAAAATTATTATTTATTGGCGAGAAAGCTCCCCAAAAAAAACCCGTGTTTACCCCCCCCTTTTTTCCCCCCCCTTTTTCTCGGAGAAAAACCAGAGAAAAAAAGGTTTTTTCCCATCTCCCGTTTTTTTTTTTTTTAAAACAAAAAAAACCCGGCCCCCCCCCCCCCCCCCCCCCCCCCTCTTCTCTTCCTCCCCGGGGCCGTCCGCAATCCAGCTCTCCTCCGCTGCGCTGCGCCAACCCGGCTAGTCGCGCTGCTCTCCGGCAGGCACCGCGTCTGTCTTTCTCCCCCGAGCCCCTATTTAACCGTCAAAACGTCTTCCCTTCTGGATCCATCGCTTCTCCTCCCGCCTCGCGTTGCTTTCTCTAATAATACAATAATGGGTCGCACCGTCGACCAAGAGGTCCACGCGGCGTTTGTCGAGTTTCGCGCCAAGGAAGACGACAAGGTGAAACTCGCTGTATTTCCCTGTATTCTTGGGTAATATACCTTGTTGACAAACGCACGAACTTATCCACTGACAAACTGAACCTACCTCACGCTGCCTGCTGCCTGCTGCTTGATTGCATGCTTGCTTGCTTGGCGCCTTTGGTATATTTTGCTTAAATATAGTGCCTCTCCGTTCAATGTATATATTGCCAGCAGATCAGAGCAAAGAACACCAGCCGCCAGAAGCAACATCTCCTCGAGTGTCCCGCCCTGCGCGGTCACAATCCTCCCCATCCTCAGTCCGCCCCGACCAATGGCGTAGGCAACGTCAATGGTTACGGCGCTGCTGCAAACGGGCCTGCTGGTGGCCCTGGTGCCGGGTCAGCCACTGCCACCCTCCCTTCTGCCAGTAGCTCCATGATGACCAATGGAGTTAACCCCCACGGTAGTGCTTTGCAGACACCCATGCAGAATCTCTCCAGCCGCCCCTCCCTCCCTTCCCAAGCTCCTCCTCCCCCCTCTTCATCCTCCGCCGCTGCTCAGCCACAGCAGCGTGCTCACAACACGCCCAAGTCTTCGAAGCAGCCCAGACAGAACACCTCAAGTCTCCCGGCTCCTCCGCTCGATGACGTGCATGCGGCCTTTGTAGAGTTCCGCGCGAAGGAAGAAGATAAAGTGCGTTTTACGTGTATCGATATCTATAGACACATCTATCTCTATACATATCTATACAATATTACTTTGTATAGACTAACTGTTCCCACAGTGTCTCTCTGTCCAATGCATATACTGCCAACAAGTCCGTGCGAAAAACACGAGCAGACAGCGCCAGCATCTGCTAGAATGCCCCCCCTACCTAAATGTCATGAAGGATTCAATTCCTGCCAACAACCTTCAACACTCGTTCCCGGAAGGGGACATAGCCCGCTCTCTGCAGCTCCCCACTCCCTCATTGGAACTTGACTTCCGCATGAGCGTTAAATTAAACCCGACGGTGACCGTTGGACAGGGCATCTGGGGCCAAAGAGATTGGATCACGTTTGTTGGTGGACAATGGGCAGGACGATGGGGCAAAGGGATTGTCTTGGTATGGAGCCCGCCTCCCATATGTCACATGCGCAAGCGGTTCACTCTTACTAACTACACCCACCCCTCATCTAATAGCCCGGAGGCCAAGACTCGCAAATTGTCGTCAAGGAGCTCTCCACCCACATCAAGGCAAACTACCTGTTGCAGACAGCAGATGAACAACCAGCCTTCATCGTCGCGAAGACCACAGGTTGGATGACTGGTGCAAAGGACGTGCTGGAGAAGCTTAGCGATCCATCCATGGCGGATTCGGTCAACCCTAACACGTATAAATATCGCATCAACATCTCCCTGGAGACCGGAGACGAGCGCTACGCCTTCGTGAACACGGTCATGTGGGTTGGCAGTGGCTGTCGTCGCTCGTCGGAGGGTAAGCAATCGACCATCTCTCAATCCATCGCTACGTTCCGCTAACTCTATTCGTTTTATGTAGTTATCTTCGATGCATTCCGCATCACCTAGAAAGTAAACCTGCAGTAGCTGAGACGCGTTCTATTTGCGTGATATTTTTTTTTTTTCTTTCTTTCCTTTATCTATGTGCCTGGGGCTTTTATATATGGGGTAAAGGCGATTTTAATAGGAACAAGCTGTCTGGCTCTGTGTCGCGCTGTCTATCTGTCTCTCTGTGTGTCTGTCCATTTATATCTCAGTCTCGAGTGGAATAAGGAAAATGTCGCGGTGAAATTGGGTTGGTTTCTTTCTCTCGTTTCAGTTTCTATTTTCCTTTTCCGGGGCCAAAAAAACGGCCCCCCTCCCCGCCCTTCCAGACGGAAGCGTTTCTATTGCACTTATAATAATTTACTTTGCCTTTTCCTTTCATTTTCCTTATTCTGCTTGCTTGACTTTGCGAAAATACCACCCTTCGTATCTCTGAGATGTTCGGTTTTTTTTTTCCTTTTTTTCCTTTTTTTTTCCTTTTTTGTTTTTTTAAATTTACATGTTTTACTTCTCGTCTTCGTTGTCTTCATTTAAATCTATACTCTTTATCCTCTCACACCTGTCTTGTTTTATATATTTGGTCTTGCTACCTTTTCTTCTCTTAAATGTAGTGACCTACTTTCTTGATCCTCTTTTCCACCAGTGGATTTGTGTTTTCATTCCTTTTTTTTTTTTTTTTTTGGTTTTCTCTTCTCAGCTGAATATCAAACGGATAAATTGATATGCGTCGACCTCCCTTTCCCCTTTACTCCTTTCTTATGATAGTAGTTTACATCCCCACACCCCCCTTTTACACCCCCCTCCCCGCAAGGACGAGAATAAACTATGCAAAATTGTTTCTATTACAATCCGATGTCAGTGCCCTAAATCGCTTTTCACAAGAAACACACCACATAACTGGCGATTCCATCTTGTCACGTTATGATTTGCTTTCCCTTGCGAAATTCCCAGATTTCCGTTTTTAGTACAGAAGATATCAAGGGGTAGCTACAACCCTCTTTTAATACATCTAACTACCTCACTCATCTGATAATACAATTACGGATCTGCCGTTACATGTGAATATACCAAAAGGATGGAAAGGTTATGTCCCTTCTTCCGTCATTTACAGATGCATATACCGTATCCGTATGATACGTCCCTGATTGAACATTGATTTCGCCTTGATGTTACTGTTACAATGCTGGGTATCAGGGTCCCGTATATGCATACATATATTATACATACAACGGCGAAAGAGGGGGGAAACCCCTGGCATGCATTAGCTAGATCGATTGTTTATTAATAATTCATTTATTAACTTGACTATTTTACGACGGTCTTTGGAGTTTATGGCAAAGTAGTTTAGGGCTGGTAGGGCTGAGTATTTTAAAAAAAAAATAAAAATAAAAATAAAAATAAAAATAAAAATAAAAGTTCTAAGAGAGCTTAACGTTGCCGTAGTGGGCTCTTGGTCCAAGGTTTGGGTCACGGGCTGCGCCGCTGTGCAACCTGTGCAACCTGCGGGGGATGACGTGGTTTGGTGATGAATGCATCCATTTGGAGTGGGTGCTGATGAATGATGCGCAAGTGATAGGGCTTTATATATATATATATATATATATATATATCTCGATTCGAATGTAAGATTTTCTACCGGCTCAGATGTATTGTTTAAACGTATGCCTTCATCATCGATCATTTCCGTGGTCCGAAAGTTGAGATAACCGAAGCCCATACGAGGTTTTTTAACCTGTAAGTAAGGGTGTATATATGGTATGGTATGAGCGGACTTGTTTGATTTCGAAATATTTCGGGACTGTTTGGTACAGAACTTCTCTTTATACGCATCATACCACATTTGAAACAAAAATAGAACTTATATTTAAGGAAATAAATTTTAAATTACTACATGTTTAGCCGAAGGACATCAATTGTAATGGATTTAGGGAATGCTATTCGCAGCACTTAGAGAGTGACTGATGATGCTCTTCATTTACGGATACCTGGACAGAAATTAAGAGCCGGATACACTTGGTCTCCATCGCGTATTGTTGAACTGATCTTCAACAAACACATGACAATACTGTACAGAGATGTACAGTATTACTATAAATTTCACAACAGAACATTCAGGTCACCAACTCCGTATCAATATAACGTCAGTGCGCTGTGGAGAAGTCTAGTTCATCCATGGGAGGTTCAGTGGATCTTCTGATGACAGAGAGATCCCGGGTCTAGTTATGTGGGTACTATTGTACAATGAATGATAACGCAAACAATAGTGACTATACTGAGCGCAAACGAGTAGCCGGGACGGCTGGAGCAGTTTTTATGCTATGATTTGCCGGCGTGCAGGGAGCGTTTGTGTAGAGACGCATATTCTCGGACCTTCTCAATCCCCAGAGTTGGGTCAAACATGGGAAGGTTCCTTTTTTTTTTTTTTTTTTTTTTTTTTTTTTGCGCCTCGTTGTTCAAGCAAAATGCTGCCCCATCCAAAGGAGAAGAGAAAGTGAACCTTGGAATGAGTATTGTCTGGTCATACACTCAATAGATTGATATAATCTCCAGAGAGATGTAAGGTCTGGGACTGTGAGGATAGGTTATATTTATATTGAACATATATATTAATAGTATCTAGATGGGTATATAACTAATGTGCAACATCAATATTTCCCGCCTTTCCTCCGCGCTTGCAACATCCCCATCCCGTTACACAGTTTCGATGTACCTTTTAACTTCCCTACGTGAGTGTCCCCGACCACGATTAGCTTTCTGATACCCGCAACGGCAGCGGTAAATGAAACGTAGAAGGGATTACAGAACGAAAAAAGAACAGAAAAGAGGAAGAGAAAACTTACCAATCTGTCACAGCCTCCTCCCACAAGCAAATCTCATGCTCTCTCGTTCCCCCAAAGTGGTCTACAAATGCATCCCCAAACACCTCCCTCGCCACACTGCCCTCTCGCATGAAAGTAGCCACTGCTTCCTTGAGAGTTTTCGCCAACCGTATTCCCTGGTCAGTTGAGCCGCCTACATCCTCACCCTTAGGCAGCGGCGGAACAGGTAAGGCAAGCTTCTTTACCACCCCCCTCCATCCCAGCTCCAGAATCGCGGCAAGGACGTAGTGCGGATTCGCATCTGCGCCGGGGACCCGTACCTCCAGACGGGTTGCCTTGGGCTTCGACGTTGGCGGCGCGATTACACGGATGGATGCTGCTCGGTGCTCCAGACCCCATGAAACGGTGACGGGGGCCCAGAAGTTTTCGACTAGACGCTTGTAGGAATTTATGGTTGGGGCGAAGATAGGCATGATATCGGGAAGTCCATCGAGGATACCGGCGAGGAAGTGCCTTCCCACGTCGGAGAGGTAGGCCACATCTGGATATGGGGGTGAGGGATCGGGCGTTTCGCGGCTAAATATATTCTCCCCTGTCTTTGAAACAATGGAGAAATGCATATGTCCACTGTTTCCCGGTATTCCTTGTCGTGGTTTAGCCATGAAAACTGGCGTGATTCCGTACTTGCTGCCGATAGATTTCACGACGTATCTAGGAGGTTTTTTTTTTGGGAGTATTAGCGACATCGGGCGTAGCCTTCCCACGTAGGTTGTCTCTAGATATATGATAAAATCTCTGAAACTAGAAGACGGGATTGCAGCATTTGAGGCTCACTTGAATAATCCCGCCCGATCAGCTATTTCCTTGATTTCACCAAACTCAAGGGCCTGTTGAAGGTTAGGTGCCGTAAACACGAAGGGAATATGTTCACTGTAAACATACGGCTTCAAATACTCCCGGACCACTTTCAGTATGCCAGCTTTCGATGTCACACTGGAAGGCCTGACACATGTTGAAAATAGCATAGAAATACTCTTGATTATGCACGGTCCTTGTAAGACTATAACCGAACATTCCTTCCGTCAATGGTTGGAGCGCAGTGACAGGGTTCTCCTTGAGAAACGCTGCGGTTGCTGAGGAGTTTCGTTCGAAACCCCCCGGGGAGGTCGACGGAGCGCGATATTGGTGAAATTCATATTCCGCTACGAAGGACTAAATTAGCAGCGTGAATCATTTCTATTGACAGGTAATTCAACGTGCAAAGACACACCGCCAACCATGGCTCTATAGCCCAGTTTCTCTATTTTCTCAGCAGCTGTCCTCAGTAACCCTCGCGGGCAAGCAGATATTGGAGCGTGGGTATCGGGGTCGAAAAAGCTGACTAGAAAGAACGGCACATTATCTTCCCATGGTATTCGTCGGAAACTGCTCAGATCCGGAACTGCTACCATATCCCTGTATCCGTTCTCCTTGTTGCTAATTCCCAGGTCTTTGAAATATGTCTGGTCATGCATGTCCCACCCAAATATAACGGAGCAGAATCCGAATCCATTTTGCGCGACTGAGAGAAACTTCTTCTTTGACACGAGCTTGCCGCGAAGGATGCCATCTGCATCGATTCCGGCGAGTTTCACCCGCGTATCCCGTTCCAAAACCGCAGGAAGACTCTCTAAAGTGATTTCTGTTTCCATCGGGATCTTGCTCGACGACTCGTATGGGCGAAAGGAGGCAAAAAGGGCGCACGGAGAACGGGATTGCTGGATTAAAGATTGTTTTTTTTTTTTTTTCTTTTTTCTTTTTTTTTTAGCAGCTAAATGCTAATGGGTATATACAACACAGCAACAGCGGATTCTTCTATCGGCCTGGGGGAAGCACAAACAGGCCTACTCCGCTCCGGAATCATGGAATCTCCAGGTCAAGCCAGGTCATTCCACCACTTATTACGTGGGATATGCTTTTAATAAGTTATCCGGGTCGGGGAGGCTCCCAGGCAGTTAACTAGTTACAACAAGGTTACCGGGATAAACTTTGTGGGGCCATTGGGGGTTCTACCGTGGCGTAGCGTAGCGTAGCGTAGCACACAGCCACCTGGGACATCATGTGATCTACTCTCAATAAGGTTTCAGGCACCGCATCTCAACTCCGAAGATTCATGTCTTACTAACCCCCCCCCCCCAAAAAAAAAAAAAAAAAGTTAAAATAAAAAATTAACACCTCTCTCTTGATTGCGCAGGTGACTCGAGGATTCTTCGAAGGGATCCGTAATAAGGGAGTCGAGGGAATCTCTGAGAAATCCAACCTCTGCTGGGTGAGACTTTTCATTCCTGCTCTTTCGGTTTATCAGAACCCTGTCAGACGTGGCCAGGGAGAGGCAAGTGGCTGCAGCAGGATCCATGCTGAATTCAGGGATTGAGTCACCTCTAGACATTGAACCGTCACTCTTTCACATTCGCGAATCGCCCTGTAGTCTTTATTTGGTGTCTCTGGCTACAAGAAATCTCTGCCATCATGGGACGACTTGAAGGAAAAAATGCCATCGTTACTGGCGCTGCAGGGTATGAATGACTCTTTTTAAGTCTGGAAGATTAGATGGTATTTGGTTCCAAAAAAAAAAAAAAAAAATACATGCTAAAAACGAGAATGAATATAGTGGCATCGGTCTAGAGACCTGCATCCTCTTCGCTCGTGAAGGTGCTTCCGTTTTGATGGCTGACATTTCGGAGCCTGCGCTCGAAAGGGCCCTTGCCAAGGTAAAGCTCGTCGTCCCCAACGCCGCCAGACTCGAAACTATCAAGTGTGACGTCTCTAAGGAGGCCGATGTCAAAGCCATGGTCGAAGCGCTGGATTCCTGGGGTGGATGTGACGTCATATTCAATAATGCAGGCATAATGCATGAAGACGATGCGGATGCAATCGGTACCCCCGAGCATATTTGGGACATGACTCAGAATATCAATGTCAAGGGAGTATGGTACGGATCTAAACATGCAATCCTTAGCATGCGCAGACACAAGAAGATAAAAGGCAGCATCATCAATACGGCTAGTGTGGTGGCTTTGACGGGAAGCGCAGTTCCCCAGTTAGCATATACGGCAAGCAAAGGGGCAGTTCTTGCCATGACGAGGGAGCTGGCAATTGTCCATGGCCGCGAGGGATTTAGATTCAATTCTCTCTGCCCTGCGCCTTTAAAGTAGAACCCTCCCTCCTTTTTGTCTTTTACGCATTTATCTTTCCTCTTTTTCGAAAGATTCGTCCAGGCTAACAGCACATACCTCCAGTACCCCTCTGCTGCAGGACTGGCTGGGTAATGACATCGCTAAGCGCCAAAGACGCGAGATCCATTTCCCCACGGGCCGTTTTGGTGAAGCTGTCGAACAGGCTCAGGCCGTTCTTTTCTTGGCTAGTGACGAGAGCAGTTTCGTAAACGGGACCGATTTCGTTGTCGATGGTGGAATGACCAAGGTTCGTCAAACCCCCAACGCATGTACAAGGGTCTTGGGGACCCCGATGAAATTTTTCATCTAACATGTTCCATCATCGCACAGGCATACGTTACCCCAGAAGGGCCGCCAACAGAAGCACCGAAAAACTTTGCGAGCTAATTAGCTGTTAGAGCTGGGTTTCCATGTTGACACGGAGTGAGATAAAATATACATTATTTATCTAACGCTATATTCATTAGACGCTTAGAACATGCTCATAAGTTTTCATGAGTTTATATGTTATCAGCCAGAGTCAAGAATCTAGAGAGGCTGAGTAATGTCTTCAATAGTGTTCAGGGCAAATAGTTTAATACTTAACTGGCTTCTTTGCTGTTTCTGAGCTTGTTTCATATTTTCATCAAGATATAAGTAGGTGCTATGCAAGCCTCACTGAATATATTCTGATAGCAGGGGCAAAGTAGCCTAAAAGGTTGTATGATACTAAATGGAATATTGGCAGCCTGTCATATTGCACATCTGGTGTCACACACCCGGTAGGGAACTATTAGTATAACAATTAGACTGCCCCGTTTTCTTGCACACAATGATATAAGTGTGCAGATACAATCACAAAATTACCATTTCTCTCGCTACTACATTGTTCTATCAAGGAAAAGAAATGCTATTCCTTGGTTAAAAAAAAAAAAAAAAAAAAAAAAAAAATCTCAGTATGTCACATTGCACATATTGGATCTACGAAAGGAGGAGAAACAGAACAAAAACAAAAAGGAAGAACCATGTAAAAGCAAAACGACTACTAGCTACGTGTGGACCATCGAGCTTAAAGATATAAGAAAGCAAACGTAAAATAAAGCATGAAGATAAAAGCAAAAACCACTCCTGCGAAAGGCAGAAAGATGAGAACTCGAGAACTGAAGAATAAATTGCCCTTGAAAAATTTCCATCACCATACCTGCGCCTGTCCATTTACTTCTGTATTGCACCTTGAAAAGAGACACTGAAAGCATGTTGCAGATAAATAACAGCATAACAGATGGTAACTTAAAAAATATAGAGAGAAAACATGCAGGCAACTGTAGATAGAGGTGTGATCCGAATTAAGCGAGATGTATTATTGGTGGTATTTGACCCACTGGATTCCCCGAAAAACGACATCCACCTTGAGACAACAAGTGGAAAGATGTTAAGTGTCAGCCAATTGCAGAGAGGGTGAGAAATTAGGCGCCTGGGAACACTCCTATTTTTCTGGAGATTAAGTGGAAACAAAAGGAAACGGGTTACTCGTTTATCCCTATCGCAATAATGGAGAAAGGGAAAAGGGGGGGATTCTGTACTGTTCCATCACACCAACCACATGGAAATTTCTCCAAACTCTTCTTGCCCATCCGGATTGCGGATGCCCTCTTCCTGTCGTACGCACAATGCGCCCCTCGTAGCCAACATGAGAGTATGAAGGAATGCCTGTGTAGCGACGACGTGACTGTTGTCTGTCGGTGGAAGTAAGGAGGAAAATGTAATCTCAACCACATCTGCATCATCACGATGCCCATCCGCGGCAGCAATGGCAGTATCTGCCTTCGCTTTCTCACTTTCTTCCATAATCTTGGCCCTGACAAAGTCTAGGAAATTCACACTCTCCTGATCCAGGGTAGCAGCAGGCCACTGAGTCTCAGCTGCCGTTTGCGTATCAACAGCTGCAGTAGGGCCAAAGAGTTCGAAAGAACCGTGATGTTGGCTCCTTCGAAGACCAAGGGGGCTACCGCCACCTTCCTCAACTACAGAATGATCAAGAACCAGATTGCTATCTAGATTAGACAAATCGAACTCCTCATCGTCTGGCATTGGAACATCGCTCATGCCTGGTCTGGCTATTCCACGACCGGCGAGGGGACTGGCGCTCGTCATGCGCCCCATGCGTCTTCCAAATACTGCAGAAGACCCACCAACAGCGCTCCCATCTGGAACCCCACCACTGGCAATGGAACGAGGACCACCAATGCTGGAGTACCCACCGACACTGAGGAGGAATTGGCGAGAGTGAACGGAGGAGCCTGGCTGGGAACCTCTGATGGAAGCGGTAATATTCCATGGCATATGTGAAGAGCCATCATCGTAGAGAGGCACGGGTGCGTGACGGCCTACTTCAATGTCTTGGAGCTAGAGAATTTTGGAAAGGGCTTGTTAGTAAACTAGGAAGATTTTAAGTGCTCGGGAGATTATATGACATACATCATACCCGATGCCATAGCCATCGTCACGCTCAATGACACCTCCGCGGCCGATTTCATCATCTTCGTCTTCTCTCATACGCACACTCCTAACCTCGGATTCGAAATCATTGCCACCAACGTCTTCACGGCTACGTTTACGACTTGTACGATTCTTGTTTCCAGTCAAAGTGGCCAACATCTGCTCTCCTGAGAATATGCCCAGTGGATGTTTGAAGTCGGAAACACCTAAACCGAAGTCAACAGAACCAAATCTTTCACCCATTACCCAGAGACCAGCATTTCTCTTTGCCAGTGTATTGATTTTATTGTTCTGTTTGAGTTTTGCTGCAAGAGCCATGTTACGCGCGTACTCAGAGTTCCACTGGGCGAGATCTGAATTCTTCAGTTCTGGAGGATCGTCAAATCCTAGAATTTTGTTTCTTCTTTTCCTTAGGCGTTGCTGTACTTCAGCAACTTCGGGCGATACCCCAATCACCGGTTCGTAGCTAGGATCTGCTGCGGAATCAAATCCTGAATCAGGGTTTCCAGAGCGCAGATTATCATTCTCTGCATAACTCATTTCCGCATCGTGAAGAACCGTCTGGTCCTCAAACTGTAGTGGGAAACCGTTAATTATTTATCCTTTCAAACTTGATGATAGCAAAACTCACCTGATCTTCCTCAACCTCTGGCCGCACTCTAGTATTCGTTCTAGTCTCACTTCTCGCAGAGAGCCCTATAGGTTTATTCTGCGGAGTTTGCCTCACTGGTAGTTCAATTATATTTCCCTCACCGTCGAATTCAAAATCTGGTTGGAGCAAAACACCAGTCTCTTCTGCGAAGGCTGCGGGCAGCTCAAACTCGTTTTCCTTCGTACCTATACTACCTATATCACTTGGGAATCCAAAGGCACCTGCACCAAGGCCGCTTATATCTGACGAAGAGATGTTCAAATGAAGTTGTCCATCTGAAAAGCGGCTGGACTTGGTTGACTCAGGAATTTGGCTTGACAGCAAACTGGACTTGCGTGGGGATCCGATGTTCGATGTAATATCGAGAGCAGACAAATCCACGTTTAGCCCTGGGAGCATTAGAAAAGGGATGAAGGAAGGGTCGTCTGGGATAACTAGCTGGTCCGGCCTATTGAGATAATTTAGCAGTTTGTTTAGACGGAAGTGTACACGTCTATATTGCTGCTCAGTGAGGGTAATGCGGCGGGCATGAGGCCAACATTGGGGGAAATTCCGGAATAAAGGTGCGGAACTATACTTTGCCTTCCCAGCATCAGGATCCAATCCTGAGGAACGAATTTCTTTCAACATCGCTCTCATCTTATCCCGCATTGTCTGCGCGTCTATAAGCGCGTATCCGCATTGCTGATTAAACACCCTCGATACACCATATCTGCAAGCCAGAGGCCCAGTAATTTAGCAAAAAGTTTCCCCTGACAACAACGATCAAATCAAGGGGGCTCCTCCATCCCTTTGACTCACAGTAAGTTGCCCTGTAGCCTCAAGGCCATTGGGGCCTCGGGGCGTATGATTGTTTCACACGCCTTGGGAACATCGACATCGAGAATGGCCTTGCGATTCACCTTTTTGGTGGTGGATTTTGCACCAAGTGTCGCAACAAGCCTGGTACAAGAATAGCCGTGATTCAGCTTTTAGATTTCAGATCAAAAAAGGGGTAACGAAATCAAAAAAGGAAAAGTACGGGGCGACAAGTAACATGACAGCTTCAGCACCTACCACACCGTCGCAACCCCATGCTCGCGGGACGTGAGAACTGCGAACCAACCACATCAATATCAGCTATATTCTCGTAAGGTGTGGTATTGCATTGAATGAAATATATGGACATTTCACCCCGGACATTTCACCCCCCTATCCGGCCCCAGCTAGCCGGAGGGTTGTTTCCAACCCAGCACTAGGGCTTTAAATTGACACGTTTAAAGCCCCAACTTTGATGTAGGGGGAAGAAGCTCACTCTCATGACTGTAGAACATGTTGCCATTCACCGACCAGACGGCGCGTCTTACCGCCTTTACAAAAGGAATACGATTCGAGAAAACCGATCCGCCCCTGAAACTGGTTAATAGACCTTAGCAATAACGGCTAAAAATGCGACGCGAACGTTTCCCGTTCTCTAGTTCTCCTTTTATTTGCTGGCCAATGGGAGGGGTCTGTAGCATATAACAACTGAGCACGATAACGGGGTAAATGTGAATGTAGATGGTGGGTACATAAATGACATAAGCACAAAGAAGGGGGATGTAAAATGCAACGCGAGGTTAAGGATCGAGGGGAGTGTTCCGTTTAGTCGGAATGGATAGATGGTGGAGGTGAGAAGTGGGAGGAGAGCTATGGGATTGGGAGAGCATGTGAGACGCGTGACATCCGCGCCCAAAAAAGGGGGAGACAACGCAAGAGGCTGGAGAGGAGAGTCACGGGATCACAGGATGGAGAACGATGGGAGCGGAGATATCTGTTTTGGCTTCATTTTCTCCTTTACTGCATCTTCTCGGCTCTATAGGCGCCACGAGGGGTATATAGATGGAGATTGAAGACGTTAATAGATTTATGTCTGCCTCCGCAAGCCGTGTGAATATGATTCACCAACAACAACCAAGGAGCTATATTTGGGGGAACGACAGGAAGAAATGGGCAAGGGAGCTACCAAGTTCAATAATTCAAATCTTGCCTTGGGAATGATCGTTCCACAAGCTACAGAGCCATCGAGAGGTAAAATGACAGAAGCCAGGAATCAAGGAGGAAAAAAAAATAGCAGCATAGCTGTGGATATTTCGTATACCTGGAAGCAGATATACTTGTAGCAACTGGGATATAATAGCAGAATAGGGATGTCTCTTTCAATATGAATGTAACGGGGGAGGCCCGTAATCAGGGGAAGAAACTGATAGGATAATGCGTTAAGCACTGGTATACCCCTTTCTCCCTCTTCGTGGTCTCATTTATTTACGGATGGTCTCAGAAAGAAATGGACGGAAACTGACCAAGCAGAACAAATCCTGATGGATGGGAGAATGGCATCACCATAAGCACCTATCCGTGTGGGGACGACGCATGAAATTGAAAAAGATCAAGAAAGAAGAAAGATCAAGCTCTCGAGGAAGAGGAATTCTAAAACCAAAGAAAGAAAAATAGCAGAATCGCAAGCATACAGAAATGACATGGCTCCCGGTGACAAAAAAAGAAGAAAGAAAGAAAGAAAGAAGAAAGAAAACACAGATTGGGGTTGGGTATGTGCGGAAAATCTACACAGGTTTAGTACTCCAAAAGATACAAGACAGCTAGAAAGAAAGGAATGACAGATAGTAGTCATGGCACCTAGTAAAAGAAGTAATTCAACAAGCACAAAAAAATTGATTCTAGGGATAAGCTGAATCTGTGCAAATATTGTAACATGGATATATTTTCTTGTTCAAAACTATTGCCGTTACTTTAAGGTTGAGTGTCGCAGAACCCCTTTACTCCAATGGGATGCCTTCGTATTCCGAATATCCAAGAGCGAGATTCATATTTTCTAATCGGACACAGTTAGCACAGTGGTAAAGGGGACGTCACCAGGTTCATGAAGAAATAAATAGCTGGGAATAGCTTACGAAGACATTGAGTCGCTGCCCCCTTGAGTAGATTATCAATGGTGGCGCAGACAACCACTCTCTTCCCTCCGGAGTGGACTGCAAAACCTCCAACCTCAACCCCGTGACGACCAGCAATATTCTTGACGAGCGGAGCTTCGCCAACGACTTTGACAAGCTTCTCACCAGCATATCTATCCTGATACAAGTTGCGGATATCACGGGACGACATCATCTCCTTCAAAGGAATGTTGATCGTGTGCTTGTGCCAGATGAAAACCGTTAGCTTATCTAGACAAAGTGGAAGAGGGATGGGGGACATATAGAATTAAAAACATACATGGATCCCTTGGAACCAAGATGCCACATGCGGGATGAATGCAACCTCTACGCCAAGCTGTGTACTAATCTCCCTTTCATGAATATGATCCGTCAAGCTATACGGTATGAGATTGTTGGTAAGGTGTTTGACATCGTTTTTTGGGCTTGGCTTCGTTCCGGCTCCCGAGTACCCTGAAACACCAAATACGGTAGGTCGTCCATCAAGATACGGAACGAGTGGTGCGATTCCTACTTGGGCAGCAGTGGCGTAGCAGCCAGGGTTGGAAATGCGAAGGGCTTTAGCGATGGAGGCACGGCTGACCAGCTCAGGTAGACCGTAGGTCCACTTATCGTCGAATCGATAGTCCGCACTAAGGTCGACGATAACGGCTTGTTCCTGATCGACTTGGTCGATAGCATCGACGAAGGGCTTGCAAACGCCATTGGGTAGAGCCATAACCCAGCAATCTACGTCGCCATTCTCAGCCATGCGGCGAACGTCATCGGCGCTGAGGTTCTCGTAGATGATTTCCCTTTTGCTGTAGCCTTGTAATTTTTGGCCGGCAAGTTCGCGGGAAGATACGTGACGAAGATCCATATGTGGGTGCTTGTTCATAAGACTGACGAGAGCTTGTCCGGTATATCCACGTGCTCCAATCAGGGCTACGTTGGAAGGTTTGCTGTTGGAAACGTTCTTGTCACCAAAAGGGGGGTTTGGGTTGGTGGTGGTGTATGATCGAGAAGACTGGTAGTTTCCCCCGCCAAATTGGCGACGTCTTTGGGCACTGGGAATACTAGAGGTTGCGGAGGTTGAAAAGGTTCGCTTTTGCTGGACTCCAGAGCCAGGGGTACCAGCAGTGCTCGAAGCAGCCAGTTCGGTACGCTGAAACTCCGACTCCAAGGCATTCCCTCCAAGCATGTCGGTTCCATGCTTGCTGAATTCAACGATGAGATCCTTGATTTCGTCACCGCTTTCAAGGCCACTCCAGAAGAGGACTCGACCGTCCCGGCTCAAGCTACCTTGGGCTTTGTCAAAGAACCACGTCAGATTTTCGTCCTCCTCATTAACTGTCCAGACGAGCTTGGGAAAGTCTTTCTGCATGCTGGCAAAGACATTGTCTGCAACTTGCCTCAGCCATCCCGCTTTGGTAATGCTAAGGGTCGTCAGTTGAGCAATCGACGATCCATCTTGGGGAGGCAAAACCACGGCAAGAGCCTCCATAGGCTCGTCCAAGTAGGCCTTGAAGGGGCGGTTCTTCAATGCCTCAACGTATCTGTCAACAGTCGCTTTCGCATCAAGCCCCTCACGGTCCCGGACGAGGGCGTTCTTTAGCAGCTCAATATCTTCAAATTCATCAAGCGAAGATTTGATATGAACCTTATTGCCCCTTCGGATCAAAGTTCCCGCTCCCGTATCCGTAAATAATTCCTTCTGTAGATCCGCAGGGTGGATGATAGCCACGCTGGACGTTCGAGGAAGGTCCGTAAGCAACTCCTTCATTTCCTTAATTTTTAGTCTGGTGCCATGACGCACCCACCACTGCTTCATTAAATGGTCATATTCCTCGTCCAGGTTAATGGCAGATATCTTCTCCCCCGTATCACCATTAAACAGCCCTCCCTTCTCCGCCAGGTAGACAATCTTCAACGGCTGCAACGCCCTCGCAAGCTCACCGGCAGCCACATCAGCGTTGACGTTCAGAATTTGACCCTCGGGCGTCTCAGCCATAGAGGTCAGGATGGGAAGACATCCGGCACTAATCGCAGCTTCAATGGGAGCCTTGTTGACGCCATTAATCTTGCCAACCAGGTTATACTTTTTCTTGTCAAGGTAGTCCGCCGAAAACACACCCGTCGTAATTGGCCTAGCCCTTACACCCAGACTCTCCAGCTCCTCTACCAACTTCAGATTCTCCTCCAGGAACAGCGACCTTGCAAGCGCCAGAGTCTTTCCATCCGTAACTCTGATCCCATCTTCAAATTGAGGTTCCACACCGGCAGCTTCAAGCATCTTATTCAACTGCGGCCCAGCGCCGTGGACAACAATCGGATAGAGACCGACATGGTTGAGGAATGCAAGAGCAGAGGATAAGGTCTGCAAATGCTCTGTAATAATAGCCCCGCCAACCTTGATGACGGCAAACTGCTGCGAGGAGACGGAGGTGAAGTGTGAGAGGTACTGTTGGACCTCCCTCTTGGAGCCAATGTTGCTCAACAGCTGGACGACAGTGGAGCGGGTAGAGAGGTGCGGAGGTGGTTGAGGAGAGTAATGGCGTCTTTCAAGTTGAGAGAAGGATACCGGGGACCAGGCTGACGCAACACCTAGACATGCGGGGGTGAGTCGTCTGGTGGTCGCTGAGGATAGGAGTTGTCTAGCAGACCGGAAAATGAAGGTGTGTGCCAGAGTTCCCGACGCACCGAGCCGGAGTGATATCATCTTGTTGACGAACATGCGGCAGCTTTCAGGAATGAGGCGATACCAGCCACGTCACTAAAAATTATTGCTTGTCGGAATAGCTCGTATATATATATATATATTCTGTTTGCCTTAATTGGGGGAGGGGAGGGGAGGGTTGTTGGTATTTGGTGCTGTGGAGGGCAAATTTTGAACTGTGGAAGGGGAAATATGGCTGGGTGTGGTGGGCCGCACCGCTCCTTGAGCTTCGGCTCTTCACAGCAAGCCTGCAGCTCAAGCGGGAAGAAAAAGCAAAAAGGGAAAAAATAAGAAAAAGAGAGGGGAAAAAAAAGGGAAGCCCGCGCAATACTTCTTCAGCTGAAAAATTAGAAAATGTTGTTCAGTTCGTGCTCCTAATATTTTGGAGGGTTTTGTCTTCCAGGGATTCCGGCGAGATTTTCAGGCCCTGGAAATTGGGAATATGCCATCCACCAAAGCGAATAACTCTATTTTCGGGGCTACTTCTGTGCAGAGATTGATAAGATTATGAAAATAACTACGTGTTGTTTTCATATTGTTTTACGCCCGCGGAGAGGTTCTGGATTATCATACTCCGTATATTCCCACAACTATCCATCCCCGTGATCTTCGAAGGTCCCCTCAGGAAAGGACTGTCTCTCCAATATTACACAGGTGAGTGGATCAGCCACGTATGCATCCTTAAAATAAAATTTGAGGGAGAGAAACACGATTCATTACTGTAATTGCTAAACAAGACGAGTAAAACGGGAGGCAGAGAGGGCAAGAAGGGGTGAGAAAAGCGCTAGTATCTTATACAATCCATTTCGTCTGCTTTGGCCAAAGTTTTCGTTCAGGAATGGTTGTCGCAACGTTCAGCCAAAGCCCATGCATGTGTCTGGGGTGAAAATGTAGAATGGAAGTAACATGCAAAAAAGAAGGATAGCAAAATCAAAATCAAAACTTGCGCCTGAAGGAAACGTGACAAGAGAATTATAAAAGTTATAAAAACAAGGAGTATCAGAGGATCAGACATAATCTGTCTGCCCCACGACCACAACCCGCGTAAGGAAAAACAAAAGGAACACTTCGTAACTGATATCGGCGGAAATACTGTGGTGGACCGAATTTAAGAACTTATGATCAATGCACGCAACAAGGCGGAGACCGCCAAATTACTTATTCGCGAGAACTGCGGTAGTCAGTGATAAGTCTCTTCTCTGCATGATCTGGTGGCCACGGCGACTAGAAAAGATGTCACATACCCGAAGGCACAATAATGACAACAAGAAGTATAATGATGCCAACAATTATGCATATGCGCATTTTGAAGTCCTTCCACCACATCTGCTTTCTCACCCGGTTTGCGCCGCGACGGAATCCTTGTGCAGAAACGGCAAGGTTATCAGTCTTGTCTTGCAACGAATCGAGGTTTTCACCGCGCTGGGAGACTTTGTTGATGTTTTCGCGCATTACACCGACGGTATCGTCGATTTGCTAGAAGGGGAGAGGAAATAGTTAGTTACGTGAGCTCTTTCATTAACAAATGGAGTTTTTTTTCTTTTTCTTTTTCTTTTTTCTTTGGGGTCAACAGATCAGTTATGTGCAAATAAATGGTTGGATAACAAGCTCCCTCTCGCAAGTCAGTGAACAAAGAATAATTCCACGGCCTTTTCACAGATACGAAATAAAAATATAAATGCGCGATGACATTTGATGCAGGCGAAGACACCGTTGCGACTGTAGAGCTGAAGAGGTTGACCACATCAGGTCCGGGGGAGAAGCCTACCGCTTGGAGCGCTGCTGTTCTTTGATTGCCATTTCCAGTAGTTGCAGGCTGGCTTGATCCAGACGGGATATATGGATCGTATGGTTGTTCGTGGTCGGCCATGGCTGATGGTAAATGGTAGATGATAGATGGTTAGGTGGCAGCAATTAAAAAGGACAGCTGGGAGGTGGATCAGTGACTAGATCGATCTGTTGTGCTGCTGCTGTTGTTGTGTCTGGCAGGACTGGGGTAATAACGATATAGCTTCTCTGAAGTACCTGGAGATAGCTTGGATGGTACACAGGGAGTCTATAATGCTGTTGACCGGCGTTGGCAATGGTGGAAGGAAGATAGAAATGATGCTGACGACTGTAGAGATCAAGGTCGGGTTGGTGCAGAGGAGCGTTCCAGATATCGCGGCTTACATAAGGCACCATAACTAACTATAACTAGTTAGTTGATTGGTTAACTGGTAGTAACAAACTAACAACGTTATTATTTACCCCGTAATAAAGACTATGTTTCCAAAAATATCAATATCAGTTTTCAGGGAAATTTATCTCATGGACTGCCTGAAGGATGGTAATGATATGTATGTATGTATTTATTTGTTTATTTGCAATTTGAAATGAGAGATGATTAAACTAATGTAATCAGTTGAAGCACTCTCAACTGTACAACCCTGTAGTCCGTTAGACTGCGTTTATTTAATTAAGTTGGTTGTAAACCTACCTTCAACTTTCTGAAAAACCGCGATCTTCCTGTAACTATTGTTAGTTACCCCTTTAGGGGTTTTATCTCCAAAGAGCTGTGTTCATAACAGACCTGAGAGAAGACCAGCAATCCTGGGACAGAGAAGCAAAGACAAAAGTCTGCGCTGAGTATCCAGCGACAGTGCAAGAACCCTGTTCCCTTTCTGGTTGCCTAATTCACTCCCTAAACAAACTCCAGAGTCTAACTATATGGTCGAAACATCCGTGGTTGGCTCGGAGTGTTCTGGAACCTTGAGACGTTGGGCGGTTTACCTCTTCGTTTCTTGACAACCAAAGATATCCAATAGACTTATTTCTCCAACGTCGGGCGGGGACACTCATATTGAGACGCTCATTGTCTCCTTGCCTAAGTTTTTCCGTATGTATTTAGCGCTCTTGATATGAAGCATCGATCACAGTCCTCCGAATTCTTAGGCTGAGCCTGTCTGTAAACTAGGCGGGCCAACCCCCCCTGTGAAAACAGGCCAGCAGCTCGCAATATTTGGCCCTGCAATGTTCCGGATCTCCAGAAACTTGTTGTTAGCATCCACTGGATTATGATACATTGAGAATAAGGAGGTCCGGCTATTATCAGAGTGTTGGAAACGCCAAAATACCGTTAGACTATGGACTAAGGACGAGTACAATTCCAGAGGGGTCACCTGACATCCCTAACATATACTTACTAGCACCTGGGATATTATTGGATTATGGAATAGACTGACGGATTAAATGAAACTCAGTCTTCCAAATTTATTATCTCCGTGTGGGCGTATATAAATCGGGATTGGAGCAAGGGAAAACACCAATATTTTAATCATGACGAGAAACTACCTGCTTAAAATATAAAGAATGCCCTGGCCGAAAATCGTGAAGGGGAATCGGACAGCCAGACAGACGTGTCTACATTGCTCAATAACCTGTTTCCACAGAAGCTCCCACAAGCCAAAAGAAAAGTACATTCGAAGCCTGTTATGACAGCGGCTTGCGTCCATACACAACCGAAATGGGAACATAACTATGAATTGACCGATCATTCATTGCTTGCCGGAACCGAGCCAAAAGCACGTGTACCTCCGCCAGGCCCCAGCCCATCACCCTCGTCAATAGGGCCATCGACCATCCTTCCAATCCCTGTGTACACTCCAAGAAATAAAACCGCCCCACTTCCTTGAGACCCTTGTCCTTCGGCCATGAACCCAGGGGCATCTTGAATATCCTCTCCGTCACATCCAAAAACCCCGCCTTCTCCATCTCCTCCCTCTGCCTCTCAATGATTGTTGTCGTTTTCCCCATCCGGTCGCCCACCTCGCGGAACTCCCGCTTCCAGATATTCAACACATGGTTTTCGTCCTTGGGAATGGAACCGTCGTCGTCTTCCAGCCACACGGCCCGATTGAGGATCTCTACGTATCCGCCTGGCTTTGTGGTTTTGTAGCACTGGTCGAGGAATTCAGACCAGTCGGGGATGCAGCCGAAGAGATCGCGGATGTGGATGAAATCCATCGAGTTGTCCGCGTAGGCCCAGGGATATTCGGTGCAGTCCTCTATTAAGAAGCAGACGTTGGGGGGAACCCAGGAGGGTTGGATGGGGGATAGATCGGTGCCGATGACGTTGGCTTGCGGTTGCTCTTCGCCGAAATCAATGGCCCAGATACCTAATCAGCTAGACATCAGTTATGTTCCAAAAGGTAGGTCGACAGTTAGATCTGGTTTTCAGTAGGTTTACATGGTCATATAAGGTGGAAAATTGAAAAGAATTGACTGGGCGTACCCGTTCCGGTGCCGATATCAAGGACTTTCTGTTCGAAACAGGACATGATCAGCATATCCCCCAGCTGGACGACCGTCCACCCCGATTGCACATCAGGCTTGACGATATTGGTAAAGATTAGAAAATAAATAGAAGTTATGTGTATACCTGAGGTTTTTCAAGGGGCGCCAAGTATAACTTCTGGTCCAGCAAGAGGAGATATGAATGGTGCGCAATATCAAGCGTTTCATTCGCCTTCTCGTCATTCGGGGCATAGTATGCTCCTTCTCGGTAACTCTGGTATCTTCTCCCGTTCTCAATTCGGTATCTTTGAATGCTCGATGTAAGGGATTTGGTGTCGCTCTCGCTATTTGAGTTGTCTTCCGCGGATGTTGGTCAGCATAGGTATCCCCGGTAGCTACATGTTCGGGAGATATGGCAGGTACAGCGCATATCCACAGAGATGATATGAGATGAAAGCCAGTCCGAATAGCATATCAGCCTCGTACGCATGATATAGAACGGACTTGGAGTGAAGGAAAATGGATATCTCACACATCGTCTCCAAAGGTAGAATCGATATCTTCCTGGTCAATGTCCAGCGCTTCCCCTTGATCAGAGTTGGTGGCCATCGTGTCTTATACAACACCGACGCTTTCACCAAGAGCAAAACTTACAAGGAAGACAACTCGTAGAGCCGTTCTATGGGAAAAAGTCGATTATTGAGAGAGCAAATGGATCGAGCTCGAGATGGGTGCACTTCCATGGGGTAGAAAACCAGAAACAAAGAACCAACACCTCAATCAACAATTTATAGTGTTGGCGGGGCTTGCAGGGAGGGGTATTTAAAAAGGGTTCCGACGCACACCTGCCGACTCGACAAGGGAGGAAATGCTCGGATCCATAGCGCTTCAGTTACATAGAAGGCAACCCAAGATTTAGCTCAAGACGTGCAAGATCGACATTCCATTTATTTCCTTTTACCTTCTCTTTGCTTTTGCTCCTGTATGTCTCGATGACAGTTGCAGCCACTGATATCCTGCAAGCGCAAGGTTGCACGATGCGGTTGATAGTCACCTCTAAATTTGGGATATTAGTGCCTCTGAAAGAGGGTTAGTAGGGTATCGGATGTCATTTTTACTTTTCCGGTGCACCGTAGCCCATCCGTTCAGGCCAGAAACTAATGTAGCAAATATGGGGACCGCGAGTTAATAATGAAAACTAACAATCAACGAACTCGAAGTATTCAACCGCATTATCCATATATGCAGCTCATGATGTTTTACCGCTTACTGTTCAGGAACTCGCCCCACACGATGCAGAAGTGAGGGCCCACTGGAGAGTCTTGAGCACCAAAAATGCGAGGGGGCGGCTTGGCCGGCTGGTTCTGCTATTTATTACTTTATAAATTATCGGCAAAATCCGCTCGAAGTTGTGTGGGCTCGTCAACTGAGAATCTCACATTGTTAAAGTGGGCATTTTATAGGAATCGATGTACGGAGTACTGCGGACGAAGTAGATACCTACCAGGCTATGTAGAAATAGATCAAATGATGAGCGGGTAACTTGATACACACGTTGAGCTTGGCAAGTGGATGATGCATGTTAATACAGCTCAAAACATACTACGCACATATATTCCGAGAGAATTCAGGGCTTTCTTGCTTCTTTTAAGCATCATGTGTTATTAGCGTTGTCATTGCTACCATGATATATGTGCTGAAGGCAGATATTTATCTGTTTTGGCAGTGTGAATAGCAGCCATTGTTGCGTGTTGACTGTTGAGAAGCTTGGTTCATCTTGCCGCTGCGGATGATGTTGGTTTATTTCTGAAAGCATTCGGATTTTTATTTTTTCCTTTTGGAGTGGTAATTTATTTCACTCGTATCTATGCTTCCATTGTATTTTTGACCCTACATCGTTTGTATGGATCCCGTAAGGCGTGTTGGTTTCTGCCAACTTGTTGTCACTGCATGGAACGTTGAATGGGAAGATTTGTTGTCGCAGATTTCATCGTTTCAGGCATGATATGAACATCACAGATATGCCATACATATCAGCATTAATGAAACCTCAACGTGGTAACCTCCAGGTATATATATCTTACCATGATTCTTACCCATCGTGTAGGGGCCGTCAGGGAGATGCCGGTTCATTTCAGTATTCAACCCAACATCGAAACTGAAGCAGGATTGTCTTCCGAATATAAGAACCAAATCAGGTGTGACAGTGTATTCCCCCAAAAGAAAGCAGATACAGAGGAGCAACGGTACAACTTTTGCTATTGAATTCCTGGACTTCTCCGGTAGTTATGGAGACATCGGGTAAGGATAAAACTTTGCGAAAGATGAAAAGATCAGGAACATGATGTCACGATGGATCGAACCCCTTGCACTCTCAATGGCTGATACGAAAGGAGGAAACATGCCAGCCTTCCCATTCCGCAATGTTACGTACGGGCTCTCCTCCTTCCCGGCCTCTTTGAGTGCCGACTGGTCACCCACTGGATCTAGAAAGGGAAAGATAGTAGTAAGTGGTCAGGGGCCCAGCGCCCATGACACGCGTTGAGCAACTCCTATTCTGCTTACTTCCACTGACAATAACCATTGAAGTGAAGAGGTTTCCCCCTGCCTGAACTCTGACACTATCCCACGATATCCACTGTGGAGAAACTTCTGGGATTCAGAGTGAATAGCTTCAATGGCCCAACACAAGACCAATATGGAGTTCCCTGGAACAATCAAGCGCTTCATCTCACGAAATTTCAAATTTTATAGATAATTTGATAAAATAATTGAAGATTTACAGTAGAGTTTTTTGAACTTAAATATTTATTTGATCTTATTAAATGCGGAATTTCTGTATTTAATTATTACTTAATTTGTAAGAAGGATAATGTTCTTTTACATAAAAAACTCTTTAGATGTAAAGTATAATTACATTATCTTTTCTATTTATTAGAAGAACATATAAGTTGACATTAAGTAGTGAACGCAGCTTTCAAATAAAAGATAAACTATAAAATCATTATATACAGCTTATCTAAAACGTATCAAGCATGAAGCTATCAAGTAGTAACTAACAAAAGAAAAGTAAAATTAATACAGTTCTCTACAAAAACACATTTTTACTAAAATGTTGAATTGAAAAATCTAAATAAAATTATTAAATATTAATATTAAATAATATATATATATCTCTTTCTTCAGTGAATAATTATAAATTAAAAATTTTTTTATTTTTTTTAATATCTCTATTAAATTTATTTCTTATTTTTTTTATATCTCTATTAAATTTATTTATTTAGTTATAATTTATTTCATTCAATATCTTTTAGATAGATTACATTTACTATTTAAGCTCATAGTTAAAATATATTTAATACTATTATAAATATTTTTCTTAATAATTTTGCATTCCACAACTATATTTTTATTAAATTAAATCAAATATATATATATAATCTTTAAATCTTTATATAAGAACTTGCTGAAATTAATTCACTTTTATTTTAGAAAAAATTAAAAAAAATAGAATGATTACCCTTCTAAATAATACTAAAAAATCAAAAAACTCTGAGATAGCTTGAAGTTTGATAAGATTTAAGCTTAATTTTAAGCTTCATGTTTTAATAAAGAACAGCTCAGACTGAAAGAACATTAAATAATATAGTTCAACTTGCTAACACTATAAGAAAATTATCATTTCAAATTATGAAACAATTTAAAAAGAACTCTAGATGCATTTAAAACATCTTCTATCAGAGCTATAGAAATAGAAACTTCAATTTTAGACTTTGATAAAATCTGCATGAATTATACGCTTAAAATTATGAAAATAAATGTAAATCATTTATTTCAGATAAGAGTACCTACTTTATATTTATCAAATACACTAGAAGAAGTTTTAAACAATGAAAACTTTTTAGATTGAATAAATACTTTGAAAACTTGAAAAAATCTTATCTTCTCAGCTTTATAAAGTATATACAATGATTAAACATCAATTATGAAGCTTAAATGTGAAAGATATAAAGCACAATAGGCTTTATCCTTCAAAAAATAAACTGTACTCATTAATAAATATTTATATCAGTGAACTCTCTAAGAAAGAGAAAATAAACTGCTTATATTCAAAAGCTATAAAGAATTAACAGAGATTCTATATTTATATACTCATATGATTCAAAAAGTGAAAAAGAATATTTAGAAGTTGATCGAGCTCTGATAAAATTTAAATTGAACTTCAAGTATAAATTACACTTCTGAAATCTATATATGAAATATGAAGTTCTTAATGCTGAGTTATTTGCAATTTAAAAGACTTTTATGTTAGCTAATGTGATAATCACTTAAAAGTTCAATATTTAAAATATGTAAATATTTTCAGATAATCAAACAACATTAAAAAAATTTCACAAGCAAGAGATTTAAAGTAATCAATTAAATATTAAATTGATTCAAAGAATTGTGAAAAATATTAAGTTTAAAAATGAAAATATTCAAATTAATCTATCTTGAATATCTGCTTATATAGGCATTTTAGAAAATAAAAAGCAAATTTAGTAGCAAAAATTGACAGTGAAATTTAATTAATCAAATATATTTATATTTAGATTATAACTATCAATATTGATTAAATTTTTTAAAATCACTTTTTAACTAATTAAATTATTAAATAAGATCTTTAAATCTTTTATATATATATCTAAAGCTGTAAATAAAGATATTATAATATAATTTTTTTAAAAAACTCTTTTTATTTTAAAAGAAGTATTAGTGTTAAAAAATTGAAAAAGTTCAATTTAAGTAAATTTAGTAAATTTATAATCTATTGAAAAAGATTTTTATATAATTCAATATTTTATTAAAAATATATAAAATATAAGTAAATATAAAATACTAAAGTATTTATTAATGCTAAAAGAAATAAAATCTACATTATGTTTTCAGAAATTAATAAGTATTTATTAATTATAAAAGTTATTTTAATAATTAGTAATTTTTCAAAATACATTTTTTATTAATCTCAAAATTTAAAGTTAAATATAAGATTAAGTTTATATTATATCTTGAAATAAAAAAACATTAAATAAGCTTAAAACTTAATTAATCTTAAAAAACATCTCTTTATTAGAAACATCTTTTGAATATAAAAGATATAAAATACTAATCATAAATAATATAATAATTAAATATTTAATGAGTTTCTTTTAATTTTAACAGTAATTCAATATTTAATTAATACTTTTATCTTTTATTTTTCTTATTGATTACAATTATTAGAATTTTTTATCTTTTTAACTATAAAAACTTATTATTATTTAATTATTATGAGCCCAGCTATTCAACTAATAAAATTTTAATTAAGAAAAAATTGATAAAACTTTTTTAAAAGTATATATAGTAATCAAAATATTAGAAATAAATAAAAGTTATTAATTTAATTTTATAAAATTTGATCAAAGAATTAAATTTTTTATATATCATAATATAATATTTAAAAATCTTTTTAATAAAAATTCTCTATTTAATATAATCTTAAATTATTTTACCTAATTTAATAATTTATAAAACTTTCAATATATATAATACAAATTAATATCTAAATAAGATGAAAATTCTTAGTTGAAAATATTATAATTTTTTGTATATGATTAGTTGGTTGATTCCAACTCTAAATGCTTAATAAACTATAAAGCACGCTAACTAACTATAATTTACAATTTCTCTATAATTAAAATTCTGTCACAGCCCTTAAAATCAAGAAGTAATTCAATTGATCTCAAATATCAAGTTTGCTGATATTGAAAAGATGAAGAAAAGCTTTTAAAAGAGCAGAGAATTTAATTACAAAGGCAATCTGAACATGAGGTTGAACAAGCTGTAGCAGCAGCCTTACAAGCAAGTCTACAAGCAGGTATAATAAGAATGGCAATTGTAGCGGGTTTTTGCTGAAATTTTCTTTTTATTTGACGAGAAGATCAATGTCTTCGGGGGGTGGCAAACTCATGGGAGGCGAAGTCTCTAAGTGGTGTCTTACTCTGGCATTTCCTCCACCAAGCCCAACCAACCCTGATGCGTAATAGCCCCCCGTACTGCGCCTCAACTCATGTAACAGGGCGGCACTTAACCCGAAGATCTTTAAACCTGCTGCATCAACAACAAACAACACCTATCTCAACCAACCACCATACCTCATACTCCTACACACCATTACAACCGAAATCCTCTGCCGTCATTCATCTAGCGCTCCTCCATCGTTTGTTCCGGTACGCTCCTTTCATCTGCTATTCCCTTGTTGTCCGAAGAAACGAAGTGCTGGCTGGTGGCTGGTGGTCTCTCCTTAATCCATTGTCCGTCGTCCCATATTAGCTGGGTTGACTCCTATCACTTCAACCCACCTGCTCCCTTGCTATCCTGCTTGTTGTTTCCGGTTCTCAGGCTCATTCGCCAACATCTTCCAACGTCTTTTACGGCCCCCCGTACGAAACTGCTGGTTTGCCGTTTATACCATTCTTTCTCTCATACTTGTAGTATCGGATCCTCAGGGAAGGTCAGCTAGGCTATCCATCGATCTCTGACCCTCTCCCTATGACAGATGTTCTTCTGAATTAACCTTCAGACGGCCACACTCGCTTATCCAACTCACTAAGAATACACTCACACATTCTCTCGTTCCCTTCTCTCCACCACCCCTATTTTTTCCGTTGCTTAGACGATGAGACTCTTCCCGCACTCATCGTCGAGGTCGACGAGTCAATCATGCACAGCCATTTTGTTGTCTACACTGCTAGGAGCCCAGGTGGCCCAAGCAGTCATTCCACTGACACTTGACGATCCAGGTATGACTCCGATTCTCTGTGTCCCGTGACATGCCTCTTTCTACTTCAGTACAGACAGGATAACATTTCTGACTTTATGCTTGCATACAGAATCGATCAAAAGTGCAGCAAAAATCGTTGCCAAGAAGCTGGTTTCCTACTATACTGGATGGAGACCCGGTGACGTGCCAGGCAATTTGCCAGACCCATACTACTGGTGGGAGGCTGGCGCTATGTTTGGTGCTCTAATCGATTACTGGTATTTCACAGGAGATGATCAATACAACGAAATTGTCATGCAGGCCATGCTTCATCAAACCGGACCGGACTTTGACTATCAGCCTCATAATCAGTCCCGGACTTCCGGAAACGACGATCAAGCATTTTGGGGCATGGCGGCTATGACTGCCGCGGAGACTAAATTTCAGGACCCTGCGGAGGACAAACCCCAGTGGCTTGCACTGGCCCAGGGAGTCTTCAACACACAAGCACCTCGGTGGGCTAACCACACATGCAATGGCGGTTTGAAATGGTCTATCAACACGTTTGGCTCAGGCTGGACTTACAAAAATACTATTTCTAATGGATGCTTTTTTAATCTCGCCTCTCGACTAGCGTTATACACTGGAAACACAACCTACGCAAATTGGGCGGAAGCATCCTGGAATTGGATGACCGGCGTCGGTCTCATCAGCCCTAATTACCAGTTCTTCGACGGCACAGATGATACAACCAACTGCACCCGTGTGAATCACGTTCAGTGGTCCTATAACAGCGGCGTCTTTTTGGCTGGAGCAGCCAGTATGTACAAATATGTAGGTTGCCATACCCCCCATCTGTCCATTATGCCATACAGAGTTTCCAAGGTAACTAACATTACATGGTTTTTAACAAGACAAACGGTGACAAAAAGTGGGAAGAACGTGTTCGAGGAATTCTCAAAGGCATAGAGATTTTCTTCCAGAACGATGTTATGACAGAAGTTGCTTGCGAACGCAATGGAAAATGTAACGTTGACCAGCGTTCATTCAAAGCCTACCTTTCTCGCTGGATGGCTATGACCGTAAAAGTCGCCCCATTCTCGCGCCCTCTCATCATGCCTAAACTTCGTGCCTCTGCTGAAGCAGCCGCAAAACAGTGTAGCGGACCAGACAACTCGTGCGGTTTGCGCTGGACCAAACAGTCCGAGTATGATGGAGAAACGGGCGTTGGCGAACAAATGTCCGCACTGGAAATCATACAGGCTAATTTGGTTGATAACGTTCCTGGGCCTGCGAATGAGCAGACCGGCACTAGCAAAGGCGACCCGAACGCAGGGTTAAAAGATGGCCGTAATGATCTTCCTAAGTTATCAGAGATTACAATGGGTGACAAGGTTGGCGCTGGATTTATGACATCGATAATCTTGCTGGGCGTTTTGGGTGGGGCGTGGTGGATGATGGCTTGAAGTACATTATTAATCGGAGGATTGGATTTTGCTTTTTCCTTTGGCGATGCAGGCGGGCTTATTGGGTATTTAAAGAAGGATCACTGAAGCATAGGATGAAGGAGACGACGAAGAAGACGACGACGACACGAAGGACGTCTCTGCAGCCTTAACTCCCCAATCCTCTTCCCTTGCCTGTGACACCTCCCGCCACTATTTAATAAAATCCTTTTCACTTCTTCCCCCCGGAGATTTGGGGGGAGAACGGACCTTCCGAGAAACCGATATACCGCGATATACCGATGACGGGATCCCGTTCTATTCTCTTTCTCTTCTCTCTTCTTTTGTTGTGATTTTTAAACTTATTTCCCCTCTTCATAATTGGGAAAACTGGTTTGTGTCATATATGGGGAGTTTCTCTTTTTATCTCTGCCGATTCGCTTTCCATTTCCTAACTTCCATAATTCGTTTCTATTACCCCCCATGGTTATTGTCGTGTTTGTTCCATACTTACTCCACTTCTCCTGTCCTTTTTCGATTCTCCTAGTTCTATACTGGGTCTGGTGTTACATGTTGTCTTATTCTAATGGTATTTATTATTTCCTATATATATATATATATATATTTGAAGTTTCCTGGGGGAAATGTTAATCTCCCCTTTCCAATTTCTACCAAATTCTTCATTGTTATTGGTAGTAATGTTTACATTGGCATCAATGATCACTTGAAAAAGGGTCAGGTCTTATCCTTTCATGTTTGACCCTGGTTTCATTTAAGTATCACATGTGCAGGCATCATGTTTCTAAGGATGAGATTTATGATATTTTATTTCAGAATTTTCAATGATGTAAAATGAATGGATTGATTCTACAATATTATATTTCATATACTTGTGTCAGGATATATTCTCTTGTTCTCACTTAAGTCCTATGGCCAATGCTTGCTGTTCCTGGGCGCGCAAAAATAAATAAATGAAATGAAAAAGAAAAATGGGGGAAAAATTATATAATGAATATTAGACTTTCTCATTCTCAAATTGGCATAAACATGACAGTTTCTTTGTACACATTGATATAGAGTAGTATCAAAGGTAGGGGTGGCTGAATAAATTGAGAGTATAGATGTTAGATATGTGATATCATTGCACTTTCGAATCGCATCCTGCGAGTGGATAGGTCCGTTCCGCCCGTTAAGAGATAAAAATAAAAATACACCAAAGAATCAGGAACCCAAACTCCATAACTCCGAATGTTTTCTGTATATGCAACTTCAATCAGGAGAGAGACGCATTGTTCAAGGATCACCCTTCTTCACCGTAGTTGTCTTGTGATATTCCAACAAAGGTGTTGAGTATTTATAGATATCGAACAGGCGGGGGATTTCGGAAAGTATCAACCGATGGTATCCACGAGGCCAAAGAAAGTAAAACGCCTTCATTGAATCTTTGAAGATCGAGGCCGGTTTTATGACCCTTCCGCAAGCTCCTTTCTAATCTGCTCCTTTTGTCTTTCGGCCTCATCCTTTTCAGCCTGTCGTTGCAGCTTCGCTTGTTTCTTGTTGGTAGCTTCAGAGTCCTTCATGGCTAGCCAGACTGTGTTTTGCGACGATACATGTTAATTCGAATAACATCTTAGAAGGGGGCATAGGGTAACGGGGATGAGAGGCGGGAGGGGATTTTAATAAGTTCGGTATAATGGGTCAGCAGCTGGAACGTACTAGATTTATCCGACTTTGCGTACGATTTCAGTCGCATGACGAAGTCATCGAAGTCCTGCTGCCTCTTTTCTCGCGTTTCGAGGTTCCGTTTTTGGAGTTCTGGGTTAAATCTCTAAAGGATTTTTGGGTTGATTAGATATTCTATAATTTGATTTCTTGTTTTAACATGTCGATTCGCCGCGGGACATATGCTAATGGGTGATAGCTGGAGACAAAGAGCGTACCTTGAATAATTCCTCCTCTGTCGGCCGGAGATATTGAACGAGTGCCGGTCCACCAATGCAAAGCACTGCTCCACTATGTAGAGATATTTGTTAGCTTAAATAAAATATAAAAACAAATAACCCCCCGGGCTAAATACCAGCAATCGCGAGAGATATACATATGGGAGACTTACACCCCTAGCATCTTCAACGAGGTACCTAACCTGGGCATGGCTACGCTGCGGTATGGGATGGGAGTTGATTGGGAACGGATGCGCGGTTCGGGCGGTTCGGGCCGGATTACAAACGGAGCTTTTCTGATATTTTGGTATTGGCGCAATCGAACCCGTAAGTCAACTCCGTGCGATTATGTGCTGATAATCGTTGTGGTGAAAACTGCTCAAACTTACGTTAAAAACTGACCAAAGACAGGCAGAGGTGTGAGTGATATCCATAATGTGGCTGAGCGTCTTGAAATATGTGGCGGTGCGGAGTTTTCCAACAGATGGTGAAATTTCTCGCCGATCCTCAATAGAATCCTCGACACAGTTGCCGCGTTGGTCAAAAAAAGCTTCGAAAGATTGGAAATACAGCTCTCACGATATCTATTTACATCTTCATACTTTTATAAACGATGGTAATTTATTTTCTGGGTCTCAAGGTGTTCACATTTCATCTCGCTCAATCCCAAATGAATAACCGTGTTTGCTTAGAGTCAGAGTTCAAACCGAAATCAACTACATTTCGCAAAATCTGCCCAAGCCACAAGAGGCATTCATACTCCGGAATGCCATCGTGCCCTCATTCTGAGGAGCTGAGCAGATAGCGCATACACCGGGCGCAGTCTCCTGCGTGGTGAAATGACAGTTCTCAATCTCACAATGCATCGCTGGAACATGTGTTCGCGATGTATTTTCTGTCAAAAATCATTGCTGGTTCTTCGTTTGAACAACTTCAGGATAATACATGGACCTATCAACTGATCTATTCCACGCCGGTCAAGTTGACATATATTGTTCCAACGCTGGACGCTTCGCTCATGGATTGCGTGGAGTATATTAACGGTGACGACAAGGACAGAGAGAAATGCTTTTCCTTTCTTCGTAAGTTTCTCTGCCGACTTTCCGAGCAAGGGGTCAGATGTTACCGATATCTTCTGCAATCCATGGCTGATGGAAGGTCGTTCATTTACTGATGAGGAGGTGGGAGCAATGGGGAAAAGAGGCGAGACAGTTACGAGAGGCTCATTGAGCTGGATGCAATGTGGAAGTCCGTATCGGTTTGAGTGAGAGTTTTGTCGAGTAGGGCATGTATCACGTTGACTGTAGTTCTGACCTCGAAGGCTATTTGGCCTAGCAAATTTGCAAGTTTTTTTGATTCTTCGAATATGGCATGATACTTACGAAAAGTACGCAATTGTGGGGCGATCTTGCAACTCGTGACATTTTTGAAGCCAGGTCATGTATCCTCCTATGAAATCTTCCCGTGGAGCTAGCACCCAGAGTACCTTATAGGAGCCATAAGGTGGCTGCAGCTAAGACGGTATGAATTGAACAGGTGATCGAGAGTAAATGCTGCATTTCCGGTTTTATTTGTGCTGGCATTGGATTTTAAATCAATCTGCCATGGGCTCTGATTCTCTCCTATTTTCACCATATCAAATCAGCCAATTCCCTAAGCCAGTGTGCTGTCCACTGCCATTCGTCCTCACACGCAGGCTGTGATCGAAGCATATCAACGAATTAGTAATTACCATCCTATGGCCCCTCCCTAGGTGGAATTTTAAGTGCACCGAGCTTCTCATGATCGAGTGGGGTGAAGATGTTGTTTTATATAGGCGCCATCACTCTAGAAGACATATACGGAACAGGACGCGATGAAATTTGGATCATGATTGTCCTGTGCTGTTTCACAATATGAGAACCATATGCCTGATACTTCGGTGAAATGACCTTGGGGGCTTTAACAGAAAACCGCGTGCTGCATCCATGGATAGCAAACTACATTCCCGTCTGACAATTCCCATCATTCTAGAATGTAACCCCGGATCAGCCATCGTTCTTTTTGACTATTTTGTCCGTAGGGTGTTAGTTGCTATCATGACAAAAAGGTTTCCTTGCATGGATATTGGGCGTGCGGGACGCCTTATTGGCAACCACAACTGATATGACTCTTTTTTTTATAGGTTCTCAGGAGGCATTTGGCGTCTCACTGCCATCATGCTGGGCAAGGGCGTGTATGAACTGTAAGAAAATACTGCCAAAACAGAAGAAGCAAAGTGAATTAGTTTCCACTTGCCAGGGTCACCCGTGTCACTATATGGAAAAGTTAACTTGATTAGAAACGGTTGCATGCGAATATGTAGCAATTTCATGCTTATCATCGTTAAGAATGCCACTGTTAACCAAATGGCAGGAGAACGGCAAAATATCAGAAACCTATAATGTCGAAAGATAGGTAATTTGGCATTCCTAATTTCCCTGTGAACTGAGACGAAATTTTCATTCTTTCGGCAGCTAACTTAGGGAAGACGGTAGGTAATATGGGCTCTTGGAGCTGCTTCGTTACCCCTGACCTACCTAATTAACCAAAGGTTATTCTGCTCGACGCAGCCGAACAAGTGGGAATCTAACCCGGTTTGTATGTCAACAGTGGCTGTTCCGTTAGAAATGTGCCTGATTTGCAGTGATATCCTTGCGTAGCAACTTGGAACCTCGCATTCAGATTCCTCTAAGCTAAGATTTCAAGGAACAAGTTTGGCGTGTCTTTTGGGGGCCTTGGTGATGTAACTAAACACCGCGGAACATGGAAGTTGGTTAATTAATTCTCCTGCTGTTGTTCCAGTCAAATACAACGAGCGAGTGACTCCAAAATCACCGTATACCAAATAACTAGATTTTAAACTAAGTTATCCACGCTCTGCAGCAAACTAATTTAATTAACTAAATTAAACTAGGTTCAGGACAATCTTATACTTGATGTATTGCAGTCGGTGGAATTCATGAGCATGGTAGAGGTTCTGCTGCCGGTAACATGGGTGGTTGAATGAGAGGCTGTTCAACGGGCTCAGCAAGTGAAATAGTAAGCTTAGCAGCTAGATATCATACATTTTTTGGCTTCTGTCTCATTCGCAGCATATAGTTATATCCCGGTATTGATCTTGATAGTGCTGATATTGACCATAACTACTGAATTGACGGCCTTTCTAATTTGATTCATATCTTTTACTTGATTGTAGAAATAACTTTAAAGTCTTTGATTTATAATATTTTGATTATATTCATCTGCTAATAAAAGTGACAAAAATTGTTAATTAAATGATTTTATAACTCTGAATAATTAAAAATTGTTAAATTGACTAACTAGTTAAAGAATTCAATATAAAGTTAAATATTTAGTTGTTTAAAATCAAATCTGATTTAAATAGTTAACTAATTCTATAATATTAGCAATTGTAGAGATATATTAAATAATTATTTGAAATTTAAATATTTTACATATGTTATAAAATAAAAATTAAAAAATTGATTTTTTAATATATTCAATTTAAACCATATTTACTATTTAATTAAATCTTTATATACTTTGAACTATCAAAGTACTGATATTTAAAACTTCTAGAAAATATAATAAATATATCAGTATATGAAAAGTAGTTTTATTTTTTTATTATAAATATAATTAAATTTAGATATAAAATATTTATTATAATTACTCAATATAGGAATATATAATTAATAATAATTCTTTAGTTATTTAGTAATTTATTTAGTTAATCTTTTAAATTTGTAATATATATATATATATATAATATAGTTATAAATAAAGCTTGCTATTATATTAAATAAATAAATAATTATTATATATTCTAAATGTTAATTATAACTGTTGACTAGTATTTTATATATAATAATAATGATTTATAATTATGTAAAATTATATTATAAATTCAATTTTATTAAAGTTGTTTATATTTTTTATCTGAATTTCATATAAAGTAATTACATTTATAAAGGTTTAAATTATTTTTAAATAATACTTCTATTTTCATAATTACCTTATTTATAATTATGACATCTGAAATAATAACTTTAAAGCTCTGTGTAATATTTAAATAGATTCAAAACTTAGTTTTCATTAATATAAGAAGATGAAATATTGTAATTATTATTATTATTATTATTATTATTATTATTATTATTATTATTATTTACTTGTGTATAGTCAATGACTAATGACATATATCTAGTTAAACTAAAATATGTTTATCTTATAAATTTGATGTATAAAGACAGATGAAGATATATATTATAGAATTTTATTTCAGAATAATTCTGCATTTGAATACTATAAGTTGAGAAGATAATTAATCATATTCTTAATAAATGCTTGTTAGAGAGATAATTCTCATTTAATTAAATTTAGACTTTAGTAGCAGATTCTTTTCAGCTTCAGTTGATTTGGTTATGTTTGTATGTAAACTGCTTCATACCCGTTATCCTTGAAGCTGTGAATTTAAGAATTGACTTTGAAACATCATAGTCATGCAGTTTCCCGATTGAGAGTATTTCTTGCTTTTTAATAGCAGAATATCAAGTTCAATTCTTCTTTATAGAGTTTCTTGCATGTTTACCGCGAATTGGTGGGCAGGGCATTCGGATTACGTTGTACGTATTTTTGATCGTAATCCGTATGGTATTACAAATACCGCCCATCGAATGGCCCGTATATGCACGGGCCGTATGCAGCCGTGATAAGTGGGTATTACCAGACATTATACCAACCAGGTCACGTTTTTCCAACTTATATCTCATCCCATTTCGTCTCCATCTCCCAATCTCCTTCTCTCATCTTCGTCTTGTGTGGCAGACTCCCCCTCTTGTCTGCCTCTCTGTCGCCTCCACTGGACTTCCTGCTCGGTGGCTGCTACAGAGACATTTCCCATCGGTCGCTTGGCGTGGTTGTATCAAACAAACAGAAACTCTCCCGGCTCTGATTGGCGGCCCCTGCGTTGCGCTGCACCAATCCCCTCCTCTCGTAACGACTAGCAGCACATGGGGGCCCATCTACGATTTTGCGGCTTCTATCAACATCCTGCCATTTTTTGCATCTCCTTTCTCCTTACCCGGTGGGCTATCTGCTGACTGTGACTTTTACGTTGATACCAACTTGGATGTGCTGCCGGCACGTTCCCGTGGTGATTATATTTTTCGCGTCTTCTGGCACGCGCAATTCCTTTATATGACTACACCGTACGTAATTCCAATATATATCTGAGAATATTTGTGTCGAGAATAACTAGCTACCGAATACGTACGTACCCTCTGCGGTTCAATTTAACAACTTTCGTTCACTCTTACAACTGCCTGCATCATCTACGCTTCTTTCCCCTTCTTTCTTTGGTGCAACTTTTTCCCAGAATCTTTTTTTTTTGTAATGGCTCATTTTTATATCTAACATCTAGAGAAGTGTTCTACGTCTCCTACGATTCCAGTATTCGTGAACCTGAGTTGTGAACATTTCATTTCATATATAGCATCTTCCTTTTATTGCATATATTGGCATGGCATATCCGCATCGAGGGCCTCCCCCTCGACAATACAACGATCAGCCACCACCTTCCCAGTATTACGGACGTCCCGGTCGGGGACGAGGGGGTTATGGCCCTGGAACTTGGAATCCAGGTTACGATGACAGTGGGCAGTATTACGACGAGCGTGGCGGATATGGCGGGGGACCGGGAGGTCGTGGACAATATGACCATTGGCCCCCTCCTCCAAATCGGGGGCGTGGAGGTCCGCCTCCAAATCGGGGCGGATATGGTGATCGTCGTCCTGTGAATGGGCCACCACCAGGGCCAGGACCATTACCCCCTAACTTCGATAAATCATTCCCTAGACCTCCACCAATTCAACAAAGACCAAGACAGCGTAAGTCGAGGCACAGCGGTAGCGGTTCTTGGACCCCCATACTGACAGATACACCCAGCTAACGATGGTGCGCCGTTGTCGCCTGTCAAACTCTCATTTGATAATCCCTTTCCCGCTTTCCCGAGAGTGAGACGGGGTAATTCGAAGGAGCTCGACCGGCGGATGGGAGATCTCGATCTAAATGATTCCTCAATGAGACCGTCTCCTGAAAAACGACCGCATACGTCCAACTCCACACGCCAGCCTCCACAACGACAGCTAGATATGCCGCAGTGGGGTGGACCTGGCCCTCGAACTCTACCATCATTACCTGATTCCATGCCATTGCCCGGACCCAAAAGGAGCATGACGATGCCCACCAATCCAGTCCCGACTAGCCCACAGTACCCGGGACAACCGACTTGGCAGGAACCGCCTCTCCCACGTCCAACTACAGCTAGCGGAACGAAACCCGATACCGCGCCTGTGCAAAACAACAGAGCCGGCTCAATAGACACAAATAGAGACCTGCCTGATGACTTCCTCGACGAGTACTTCGCGCCTAACGATCAAACAGACTCAGATACACCGAATTTCAGTGTGATGCCGGGCACTCAGGATGACAACATTGTGCCTTTTGACAAACCCGGCGTTGATGAATCTTCTACCTCTAACTCGGGGAAGGGTTACACTGCTTATCGTCCACCTGGTGGCCCGACTCCGATTCCAAACATTCCTATGGATCCACCAACTAATCAGTTTGAAAATGCTGGCTTCCACTTCGACCTTCCTCCTCTAAGCAACAAATACGATCAGGGGCAACCTAATGAATATGATCCATCAACAAATGGTGGTTATCCTCACCACCCAAAAAGTCGAGGAATGCCTCCTGGCCCGGCATATCATGGAGGCGGTGGGGGGAGCGGGCGGGGTGGATATGATCCTCGTCCTCCACCCAATCAATATGGCCCTCCGGGCAGAAGCACACCCATGTCGTACCCAGATAACCATACAGAGTACCAGAATGCGCCGCCATCTAATCATCGTGCCGGTGTCACCCTGGCAGATCCACCGCATCAAAATCCAGACGCCCTTCCCAAGCATCCTGTTCCGTTTCGTCCTGGTCTTGAGAATACGGCAAAACCACCCCCTATTAGGCAATATGATAACCCTCCTGCACAGGTGCAATCCCAAACAGGCCTGGGAGCACCACCCCAATTGCTAAATGATGGAGCTGGCCCGATGCCCATTACTCACGAAGAGCTCCATCGTATCCAACAAGCAGCTAAGAGCAATCCATCAGATCACAAGGCTCAACTTTTCCTAGCCAAGAAGCTCGTTGAAGCCTCCATATATTTGATAGATGAAAACGGAAGGGCCGATATAAAAACTAGAAACAAGAACCGCGAACGATATATTTTTGATGCGCACAAAATTGTTAAGAAGCTAGTCAGTGCAGGGTACCCACAGGCAATGTTTTACCTGGCCGATTGTTATGGCGAAGGCCAACTTGGCCTAGAAGTGGACCCTAAAGAGGCATTTTTGCTGTACCAATCTGCTGCAAAGGCTGGTCATCCAGAATCTGCCTACAGATTGGCCGTTTGTTGCGAGATGGGCTACGAGGGGGGTGGAGGCACAAAACGAGATCCGATGAAAGCCGTACAATGGTATAGGCGCGCTGCAGCATTAGGAGATACCCCTGCGATGTATAAGATGGGCATGATCCTCTTAAAGGGTTTACTAGGCCAACAAAAGAACCCTCGAGAAGCGGTATCGTGGCTCAAACGAGCGGCCGAACGCGCAGACGAGAGTAATCCCCACGCCCTCCATGAACTTGCACTCCTTTATGAAAACCCCAACGGAAACGACGCCATCATCCAGGATGAAGCGTATTCAAGAGAACTTTTGGAACAAGCGGCTAAACTGGGTTATAAGTATTCGCAATACCGTCTTGGCGCTGCGTATGAGCATGGTCTACTCGGATGTCCTGTTGATCCACGACAGAGTATACTCTGGTACACCCAGGCAGCTGCGCAAGGCGAACACCAGGGCGAACTCGCGCTTAGTGGTTGGTATCTTACAGGAGCTGAGGGCATTTTACAGCAGAGCGACACTGAGGCGTATTTGTGGGCACGTAAAGCCGCTCTGGCTGGTTTGGCGAAGGCGGAATATGCGATGGGTTATTTTACTGAGGTTGGCATTGGTGTGCCGGCCAATCTGGAGGATGCCAAGAGGTGGTACTGGAAAGCATCGTGTAAGTGTTCTCGTTTTCCTATTTCCATTTGCGCAAGTCAAGAGGGAATGTTTATGTGTCTAGATCACTGTTATTCGATTTCTATATTTATCTAAGTACCCGCATTCTGACATCTTATGCAGCACAAAACTTCATGAAGGCCCGCGAACGTCTAGAGGATCTCAAGCGCGGTGGTGCCAAAATGCAGAAAACCAAAGTTTCGCGTTCGGCAGTCAACAGCCAAAAGGACGGCGATTGCATCGTCATGTGAAACATTCACTGCCCGATATTGCCAGTGGTCCTCTGCTGCCTTGCCATGGCCTTACTATTCCCTGAATTCGTGGTTGTCCTACATTGCATCGAGACGCGGATGGAAAACGGCCTTTTGATGCCCCATTGGTACAAATGCTTAAAACTTCAGTATATATCTTTCTTCCCATCTTTTTCTTTTAACTTTCTCTTCTTATTTTCATCCTTCTCCCTCTATCTTCGGTTTTTCTTCCCAACCATTTACTCAAATACTCCTTCCAAAACTATATGTTGATAAACTCATTTCCCATCTTTTCTCTTCCTTTCATCCTTTAACTTTCCGTGCTTCAATTTTTAGGTTTCCCTCCTTTCTTTTCCTGTAACCTTTAATACTTCTGATTTTAGTTTTCTTTTATCTTTGTTTCTCTCCCTTACACCCTTTCTTGCACCAAATGCCGCCATGCATAAATAAAGGCCGGATATAGGATTTTGGGACTAGGGTTCAGGGAAATGCAAAGCGGATATTCTACGGGCGAGATTGGGGTTGATATGGGACCCAACATGCTTAATTTGAATGGAATCAACAGGTACTGAACGTTTGCGACAGAAATATGCGTATATGATAGATGTGGGGATACATTGATCGTTTAGGTGTGTTTGTGCTGGTGGTTCTACGGGATGGCATCCATGGATAACAAATGTTATCTCAATTGGGCAATAATAGACACTGTTGGAGAAAAATACCTGAATCTTTTCATCTAATTATTGGGGTCATTTTCATTTTTCCCATTATATCTATTTCCTTTCAAACTTTTAATGTTGAAATCGTGTATGATATAGCAGCTTTTGATCGTATTACTCGGTTGTTACGGCTTTCCGGTAACTACATCATTAATATAATTTACTTTCTCTCTACCGAATTTAAGTCTTCATTCCACCGTAGGTACATATATTTACTGCCGAAAAACGAAAACTAAAATAAAAAGAAATAAAAAGAAACATCATCTCCAATAATTAAATTGATTGCATCATCCGCGAATCGAATGCGGGCCTGCCTCATCGAATCCCAAGGGTGTTTTGAATGTAAATGGCAACGATGAATTCTACCACTAGACCAATGATGCCAAGCGTGCGAGTTTTTTTGCTGACTGTGGAATTCGAGCCGACGATGCATGCTGGCTCCGATTGCTCAGCCCCTCCGATTGAATGCCGCCGCCCACCACCAAGTCGATCTTCCGCTCTTAATTCGGTCTTAGTGAGCTCCTCTGTACTTGAAGAGGAGTAAATATAGTTGATTTGTAAGTTCACCAGAACAACCTATGCTTCCTCTGTCTGACTGAAATCAACCATCACCATCCCCCGCTGTCAACTTGTTTCATCATCGGCATCAAAAAAGCCCTTGCTAAATCCGAGCCTCGAACTGTAGCTATATCAACCCCTCTGCTGTCCGCTTACCCCGCTCCCACTCATCTCAGCAACATAACAAACATATAAATATAAATCAAGAGTATAGGATAACGCATGCCAAAATAGTAATCCTCCCTCTCGATCGAACAGCAATAGCAATAACAGTTCAAGCTCCAGCAGCACCACCAGGCAGCGGGTTCTCGGCCCCAAGCTCTACATTCCCACCTTTCTTCTTGGAATTTCCATATCGTGCATCGTGCCTCCATTCTCTCCTACTGCTTTGAGAGCAACTGTGCAGGCACGGTTACCCAATCTTGGGAGGTCTTCCAACATAGCGCAAATGCGTAGTGTTAAACAACACTGTTACTGCGAGAGAAAATATTAGAGAGACTCTCGTCAAAAGCGCTAGTGTGGCCGTGATGTCTCCACCGGTGAGGACCCCAGTTTACTTTTGGAGTCATGGGGGAGTAAGTTTTTCCTTTTCTTTCCTTTCCAAGCTCCTCTCAAGGGTGGATTTTTGGGGTTGATGTTTCTCTCTGATGCACCGTTATAAACCTTAGGAGGGAAATCATCAATTGACCGTGACATTTTGCTAATACACATATATCAAACAGCCAGATATCATGTACCAGCAAGACCAACCTGCATACCGTAAACTGCAGGAAATCGGGCGCGAAATCACCGGCAAGGTGAAGCCTCGTGCCGTAGTGGTCTTCTCTGCCCACTGGCAATCGTCAAGGGACACGATTCATGTGAACAATGCTGAGACGACGGAGTTGATATATGAGTAAGTTCATATTATGTATCTCATCGCCAACTCTCCCCTTCAGGTTGCTAGTTTTGTTGCTTCCCAAGGCAGAACCTAGGGCCTGGAGCAGTATAACGAGTATGAAGAAGGGAAATATATAAAACGGACTAATTTGGTGCATAATAATAGCTTCTATGGATTCCCAAGCCATTACTATAAAGAAAAGTATCCGAATGTTGGGAGTAGCGAGATCGCGCAGAAGGTCATTGATGCTATCAAAGGAGCTGGTATGAAGGCGGAGGGTGTCAAAAGAGGATTGGACCATGGGGTTTGGGCAAGTTTTAAATGCGGTTTGTCTTGCCTGCATGCCCCTTTTTCTCTCAGGCTTTTAGCTTCGAGCCCGATTTTTTGCCATGAAATTAACAAGTTTTAAAACATGACCAAATAAACCGATCTAGCCTTCGATCCGGAAGAGAACCCTTTAAACGTCCCAGTGGTCCAAGTCTCACTCTTCAAATCCGAAGATCCAATCCAGCACTACCAACTTGGTCAGGCCGTCGCCAAACTGCGCGAGGAGAACATCCAAATCATCGCTTCAGGGATGGCAGTGCATAACCTACGGGATCTTCAGCTTATGTTTGGCGATCCCACGCCAATGCCCTATACGACGAGTTTTGACGAGGCGCTCAAAGACGCTGTCATCGCGCCGCCAGCGCAGAGAGAGCAGGCGTTGGCTGACCTGCTGAAGCGCGGGGATGCGAGACAGGCTCATCCGATGTTCGACCATTTGTTGCCCATCCATGTGAGCGCTGGAGCTGCAGGGGATGATGTCGGAAAGAGATTGTGGACGCTCAAGGAGGGGAGTATGAGTTGGGCGCAGTTTAAATTTGGAGAGGTTGCTGCATAGTGACAAATGAAGTAAATTATTGGGTCAACGGTCTTTTCGGGTTCCCGTTTCTTCTCTTTTCTGTGACGGATTGTTGGTTTGCGCCAATTTCAGACAATTCCGGGTTTTCTGCTATTTTGCAGAACATTCTCTCTCTGGGGGTTCAGTACCTTATGCATGGCATTTTGAACATGGAAGAAATCATTCGCTCTATTTTTCATCGAGTATATATACAGAAAATTGGAGGGGCAGAGAAAACGTATCAAAAATAATGAAATGGGTAGCAAGGAGGCATATCGTGGGCCCGCCTATATCGAGCCCCTCACTAGAGCTGTGACCTTCTCCTCTATCTCCTTATCCGTTAAGCCTAAATTCCGCAAATTTAGTCGATATAGGAGCCCCCGGGAGTCTGAAAGGATGTGCATACCTAGTAAGGGTTCCTGCTTCTCAACACCCATTTCTGCAATCGCCACATCAGTTTCCATACATTCAATTGTTGCGAAAGAAAATCTATGGTTTCAGCTCTTCAGTCAAAGGGGAATCGAATAGACATACCGTATCTAGCAAACACTCTTGGCTCGGTGTCCAATGCCTCTCGCATCATGATAGGAATGTATGGATTGTTCTTTTTCATAGTTGGATATGCTCGTTTCAAGAATGCCCTAAATGCACCCATTACATTCCAAATCCAATCAGCATTTGATTCCATATCGATAGCTTAGATTGTTGCATATTCAAAATAGACAGAAAATAAGTTACCGACCTGGTTGCGTCACTGTGTGCAGAGGTGTTGCAGAATAGGAATCGCAGCTCTCTCACGCTCTTGTTAAAGGCGTATCGTGTAGACATTGTGGCGGATCTAAGGGGATCACGGTGAGGCAGGAAAAGCAGTCTATATGCAGCTCAATTGCCGTTGTTAGAGAGGTTCAATCGCGAATGTGACGTTCCAAATTTGCTGTTCAGTAAAAAGTAACTAGTTACAATTCGATAGTTTCAATTCGATGTGATCATCTCCGTCATTAGATAAGCATGATTTCACGTGAATGATGACTCATCCAGCTGCGCCTCCAGTGCTTTCGATGCTGGTTGGCTGCAATCAACAACACTGCAACTTGCTGTTGGACATGTACGGCGTTGGCACCGATGGCTTGAGGGATATCTGCTCTATTATATCGGAATCCCCAATTCTGCAATTGAACCGACTGTACATTTCAAGAGATCTCTTTCTTCGTGTACTTTTTTATTTGGTGTACTTATTAGACTCTCCGCCATTTCCCTCACGCTGTATCTCTTCAAATAGACCTTTTTTTCAACTTACCTCTGTTTTTTTGGCCTCCCTGACCCCCATTGGTCCTCCCGTAAATACACGCTTCCACCCATCATGTCTTCCTCGAGAGTCGGTCTCCGCTTCTTCCAGAATTCCAGAGCTGTTTTCCAGAACATAGCTTCTCCATTCCGCAGACAGGGACTGAGAGCGCGGCGGTTCCAGAGTACCGAAGCCAGTTCTTCCAATGCTCCAGCACAGAGTTTCCTTCAGCGGTCATGGAACAGTCCCGTTGGGCTGAAAACGGTGCATTTTTGGTATGAGACCAATGTGTAGACAAGGACGTATTCAAATTGGAAAATCCATTTCACATGTCTATTTCATTACGAATGAACCAGCACTGACTTGTAAATGTTTTCATTGATATATCTAGGGCTCCGATTATGAAGGTATGCTACATCTGGTTGATACCCCTTCCCAATCGATGCAATGCATTACATTCGGAATGAATACAAACTTTGTGGGATGCATTATATCACATCTTGGCAGTTGTTGACTCGAGACGCTGATAATTCTCACAGTGGGTTCTTGTTCTAGCTGGTCTTTCTGACCTCGCGCGTCCTGCAGACAAGCTCTCATTAACTCAGAACGCTGCCTTGATGGCCACCGGCGCAATTTGGACTAGATGGTGTCTCATCATTAAACCGAAGAATATCCTGTAGGTTAAGTCAGCATTGACTTCCGCTGCGCCAATTGCTCTCTATAAATTATTGAACTTTTAATCTTTGTCTTAAATTCTGTTTGGATACAGTGGCTAATATCATCCCATTCTGTCTAGTCTGGCCGCTGTTAACTTCTTCGTTGGATGCGTGGGATTCATGCAAGTTATTCGCATTTTCATGCACAGGCGGACTGTCGATGGTTCAGCCAAAGCAGCCCTCAAGGATATGAGTCATGAAGCTACGGACCCGGCTAAGGCCGCTGTGCTGAAAGCTGAAAAGAAGGCAGAGGCTTTGGTAAAGTGACACCAAACCCGGGAGAGATGGAAAGCCTTGATATTTATTTTTGAAATTGGGATTGGTGGAGGATTGATGGGTCTGTTGATATAAAGTGCCAGAAGCGAACGACCAAATGGTTTAGTTGGTGCTCTGTATTAGCAAGAAAGGGCGTTTGGACAGAATTTGAACAGCTGAGCAATGTGGAATGGGCAGAATGGCTGTGAGCACCCGCGCAAGCGGAGCAGCAACTGTTAGTTGTTCTTGATAGATTATAGCTAACATAATCCACACCTCGTGCGGGCAAGCACCCTGAGCAGCCTCAATCTTTTCTAGTCGATCAGCTCCAACGTCTGGGAATGTCATTAAAACACATTAAAAAGACAAGAAACTCTACAGGGATAGAGGGAAGACTTGAACTCATAATAGATTCTATTAAAAATAAGAAAACTTTCTTCAATCTCTGAGGCTGTACATCTTTTTAATGTCTCACATTATACACGTGATTATTGACTCGGTGACTGATGATTTGTAAGAGTCATTATAGACACAGATAAATTAGTTTGAAAAAAATCACCCTAGTTCGATGGAATTTTTCAAATCGGAATAAAATGAGAATTATTTCCTCAGCTGACGTTTACTAAGGATATGATTAATCATCTTCTTTGATTAACTGACTGTTCTGTTGGCCGGGTTTGACTGGTTGTTGCCGGGAGGAATCAACGAAGGCAATATTTCGTCATCCATTAATGCACTTGTGAAAATTCGACAAAATTTTATAGTTAAGCTTCTTTATGATGAGTTGTATTTTCACCCACGAACTGAGACGCCACCTCACGTGAGATAGTCCAGTACCAATTGAAATAAAGCAAGCTTCAACCCTTAATATAATATCTCAGCAACAGATTTGAGCAGCTATGAGTGCAAAAATCCACTTGCCCTAGGCTACTTTTTTTTTTTAGCTAATTATTGAAAATCAGGGATTAAGTCCAACAGACAGCTGCTAGGTTGTATGATAATTGTCATACAAGCCTAAATTGTTTATATTTACTGGTCGTATGAACAAACATGCTGGCTGATTTGAAGAATCAAAAACTGCTACTACCATGAAGAGGCTGTTCTTGTGCAGTATCCATGGATACATGTGGCGTTACTTCCTGACCCTCCACTTTACGAAGCTTGTTGTACGACACCTAGAACAGTGCTTGTACGTCCATGTTGGCGTCGGGGGCCAAGTAGCGAAGCCAAGCGAGTCAGTTAACTAAATAGAGTTATGTGTCACGTGATATAGGGTCTCAGTTCGTATGTTACGATTTAAGTATCACATAGAGCCTTAATCATGTCAGATACTATAAGTAAAAATAAAAAGTTCACTTGAATTTTAATAAACACTTTTATAATGTAAAATATTTGAATTGAGAATGTATATAATTTGAATATAATTGATTTATAACACATTAATGGGATTTTTTATTACTAAATATTATAACTAGATAAAGATTTTTAATCTAAAACTGAGAATAAATTACTATGAGTTAATTAAGATATCAGAGTAAGTTTTATTTAATAAACTTTTAAGTAATCAATATAATTAAATTGAAATATATTATTATTATTTTTAACTAAATAATAATTATTTTACTTAATATATTAATACATTTATCTCATATTAATAATTTTTAAATATAATTGTTTTTACTATTTTAAAAATATTTAATTGAAACAGAAAATAGCTTAAAATTAATATCATTAAAATATCATGTTTAAATGTTTCAACTTAGATAGAAATCATCAAATTTTAAAACATTTATAATACTATTAATTAAATCAAGATCATTCAAAAATAAAATATTCAATTTTGAAAATTCATTTTCAAAAAAGTTAATTTAATATCTCTTAGACATTTAAATTTTGTAAGGATTTTGCTTAATAATCTTAATCAAATAACATAGAGAGAGATATATAAAATCAAGAATTTTAAAACTAATATCTTGAAAGTGCATCTTATAATTTAATAACAAAATTTAAATTAAATTATTGTAATATGTAAATATAAAATTAATATAACATCAGAATATATTTAGTATATGTAAAATGAGAAAGAGAAGCCAAAAAAAAAAAATATTGAATTTAACGCAAAGAGGGTCTGACAGAAGCTTAGAAGCTTAATTTAATCAACTGTTGTTGGGTTGTAGTAGATCTTTCAGTTGAAATCTTATCAGTTGAACTAAGGGATTTTTGGCCTGCTCGGAAAGTGGATTACGTTTAGCTAGAAAAACGACTATCTAGTTATGTTAGTTAACTAAACTACTTAAACAATGTTGCGGAGCTCAACTCTAGCTTTTGGCTTTCTTACCAGGGAATTGTAACGGAGAGTCGTTCGTTTGGAGTTTGGATATAGGTTCTCGGTGTTTGCTTCTTGCAACACGTACGTACAACAACATGAACTAGGCATCATAATATGCCAGGCAGAGAAACGTGTTTCACGGCCTCTGTCCCCACACTTTCCGCCGTTAACCAAATGCAACCCCCACTAAACTTTCACGATACTTTCATTTTATTCCATGGCAAGAAAGTCTCCAAAGTTAGAGCATGCGGGGTTTGCGGGGGCTTGGAAATGGTTCTGGCACACCGGAGATATGCCGACTCGCCACTGATTCTCAGAGGCCGTTATGGGCTCGTCCATTTATCCGCAAACTTTGATATCCTATAAAGAGACCGTGGTCATCGCTGCGAATTCATGTTCTAGCTTAATGTAACCAAATACAGGACAGAGAAACACGGCTAATAGGCCCACAGTATCAAGAAACCATAGCATACTTTTTTGCGGCACCAGCGGGCTAACTCGTAAAAGATGAAGCTGACATCACCACGAACCTTCCTTCCCGGGACTGGGATGAGAAAGTATCATACGACGGGGCTTATGAGAACTCTCTCGTCCAGACCTTCCCATTCCATCATCTCCTCATCTTCTGTGTCAACTCCAGGAAATAAATATACGCGGCCTCCTGTCTCTGGCGTTAACTCTTTCAATCATCCAACTTTTACCACTAAGCGGTTCGCCAGCATGAAAGCATTGGTGTATCAAAGCCAAGGCAAGGTGGCCTTGGAAGACCGCCCGTGCCCAACTATTCAATCCTCAACCGATGCTATCGTCAAACTTAAGCACACCACGATTTGCGGTACGGACCTGCATATCATCAAAGGAGATGTGCCAACTGCGACTCCCGGGCGTATCCTAGGCCATGAAGGCGTGGGAACTGTGGTGGAGGTTGGAACTAGTGTTACGAGCGTTAAGCCCGGTGACACCGTGCTCATCTCATGCATCACGGCCTGCGGAGGTTGCTCCTATTGCCGGAGAGAGATGTCCTCGCACTGCACTTCGGGTGGGTGGATTCTAGGCCATACCATCGACGGCACGCAGGCGGAGTACGTGCGCATTCCGCATGCGGCGTCTTCTCTGTACAAGTTGCCTAGCACTGTCAGCTTGTCCGATGCAGTGATGTTATCTGATGCCATGCCTACCGGGTTGGAGTGCGGAACATTGAATGGGAAGGTGAAACCGGGAAGTTCGGTTGTGGTTATTGGTGCGGGTGCGGTGGGGATGTCTGTGATGATGACGTCAATGTTGTATTCGCCGGCCCTGCTTGTTGTGGTGGATCTGGATGACACGCGATTGGCCATGGCAAGGAGCTTCGGGGCCCACCAGACGGTCAACGGCAAGAATCAAACGGAGGCTGTGGAGAAATTGATGAAGTTAACTGAAGGGCAAGGATTCGATGCGGTTATTGAAGCTGTGGGGGTTCCAGGGACTTTCCAGTTGTGTCAGGAACTCGTTGCGCCTGGAGGGGTTATTGCGAACGTTGGTGTGCATGGCAAGAAAGTGGATTTGCACTTGGAGAAGTTGTGGGATAGGAATATCTGTAAGTATATAGGAATTAAGCATCTGATTTTCTGTCTTGCTTGTCAAAGCGGACGATATGGGATGTATCTGGAACATGGTGCTTGGTTTGTAACACGGACAGTTGCTTACCGTATCATAAATGAACAGGCATCACCACACGACTCGTCGATGCTGTCACCACTCCGATGCTGCTGAAGCTGTTCAAAGCTGGTAAATTGGATCTTTCCAAACTCTCAACGCACCGTAAGTAGCCAACCCGTCCTGCCATGTCCGCCCAAATTCGGGTCAAGTTTTGGACCTGAATTTTGTTTGCCCACTTATATATATGTGTTATATATATGTGAATAGTTGAGCTGATAGATATTCTCGTTTCGCGGACAGAGTTTTCATTCGGCGAGTGTGAAAAGGCATATAACGTCTTTGGCGCTGCGGCGCAACACAACGCCATGAAGGTCTTGATTAATATGTGAATGAAAGGAGAAAGGGAAAAGAAGGGAGTTTAGTACCATATTTCTTTTCTTTTTCTTCTGTCTGGTCTATCAGCTGGTGAAGAAAAAGCATTGAGGAATTCAGACATCGCTACTCTGCTGAGTTGTCACCCCCCAATTGTGTGAGGGTAGCGTTGGCTTTATATGTTGGTATCATGTAGTGAATTAATGTAGCTTGCTCAATTAAATGGACTTTTCGTTTGCACATAAGTTATTCCCACCAAAGGGGAGAGTTGATATCCATTTGGTTTAAGGAGATGAGGGTGAGCAGAGGATGAAAATTGAAGTGAAAGAAGGAGGAAGGGAGGGAGATGGTGGAAGTGGGAGAAACGGGGGGGGAGGTCAACATGATCACGTAATCCCTAATTTAAGCAAATTCTGCTAGGACCTTGATAGACAACTTTTTGGAAACAGCTAGAAAAAGAGGGGTACTTTGATATATAAAATGGAGGGGTTATATTTATTTTGACCATGGGAGGGGGGACCCTCTGGGAAAAGAAGCCTTGGTCAAAGTTCCCGTTGGACAGAATTTAATCCATACGAATGAATCTCTCCTGTGTGGATGCTGAAGTTCATTTCAAAATGTAACTGACTACGGATCCAATTTTTGATGAACACAAGTAACAAAAAGAAAACACAATGGAAACAATCCAGATAATGAACATGTTGGGAAATATACAGGTATGAAAGATTTAATTTTTCTTTCCGGTCTTTTTTCTTTTCTTAAAAAAGAGAAAGGAAAAAAGAAAAGAGAAAAAAGAAAAAAGAAAAAATCACTAGACTTGGAAGTGTGTGTGAGATGCAATTTCCCCTCCTCCGACGATAAATGTTGTCCCATATATCAATGCAGTTGGGATGCGGGTCCCTTGTAGAGCTTTTTGGGGTTAAAAAAAGAAACTACATATTCGACTGAAACTAGCAGCCCGGTATGCCGTTACGTTGAGAGCAAATTTAGTTACAGCTTGGCAGCGCTTCCAGGGGCGGATATTTCGTTATAGAGCAATCTGCATCGTAAGGGAAGTGGTTAATAAGAAAGAAAAAAAAAAAAAAAAAAATTCGTCGCACTCTAAATGGACGGAACGCCAATGTAGGGTAATTCCATGAACAGCGGAGGACACTCACGATGTCAAGAAATCAGCATAATCTTCACCAGTCACCTGGCCGGCAAAGTAGCGAGCGGCAAGCTGATATTTGCTGCCCTTGGGCGCCTTGGAGGCAAGCTCGTCGGTCTGCTCTTGCAGAAGCTTCAGGGCATAGGCCTTGTCGACGCGCTTGCCTTCAGCGGTCATGACGTTGTGCTTAACCCATTGCCACAGCTGGCTGCGGCTTACTTCGGCGGTGGCGGCATCTTCCTGTTGTTTTTGAGAATGGTTGTTAGGGGTGGGTGTGGTTTGTCACGGATGGTTGAAGCAGGAGAGAATATTATAATTCTGTTGGGGGACCAAAAAAACGAACCATGAGATAGTTGATGGGGATGCATCCGACACCACGCAGCCAACCCTCCATGTACGAAAGGCCGATGTTCAGGTTCTTCCTGATGCCGTCTTCGGTGATCCTGCCGGGGACGTTGGTGTTCAGCAGGTCGTTGGCCGTGATGTGCACGTCCTCTCTGCGAACGAAGAGCTGGTTGGGGGTGGGCATGTACTGATCGAAGATATCGGTAGCAATCTTGGCCAGGGCGGGGTGGGCCACCCAGGTTCCGTCGTGACCGGCACGCACCTCCCGGAGCTTGTCAGCACGGACGCTGGCCATGGCGGCCTCGTTGGCCTTGGGGTCATCTTTGATGGGGATCTGAGCGGCCATGCCACCCTGTTGTGGGAGTTAGCAGATGTTCCACGCAATTCAGTTTCCACGGAGAGCGGGTGGTACCATTGCGTGGACGCCACGTCGGTGGCAGGTCTTGATGAGGAGTTTGACATAGGCATCCATGAAGGGAACTGTCATGGTGACGTCAGAGCGGTCGGGGAGGACGAAGGAGGGGTTGTGGCGGAATTTCTTGATGAAGGAGAAGATGTAATCCCATCTGCCGCAGTTCAAGCCGGAGCTGTGGTCTCGCAGTTCATAGATGATCTGTTCAGTTTTTTGGGCAGTGTTAGCGGGGGGGGGGGAAGTGTAAAAAACTGCGCTGTAAAAAGCCGCGTTGTCCAAAACCGCGCATGCATGCTCACCTCATCCATCTCGAAAGCAGCAGAGATGGTCTCAATCAAGACAGTGGCCCGAATGGTTCCTCGGGGCATCCCGACATAATCCTGAGCCAAGTTGAACACGTCATTCCACAAACGGGCTTCAAGGTGGGATTCCATCTTGGGGAGATAGAAGTAAGGGCCCGCGCCCCGTTTGACCAACTCTTCTGCGTTGTGGAAGAAGTAGAGGCCGAAATCAAACAAGCTGCCGGACATGGGCTCGCCGTCGACGGTCAGATGCTTCTCATCCAGGTGCCAGCCCCGAGCGCGAGCAATTAGGGTGGGGAGTTTCCGGTCGGTGCGGAGCTTATAATCCTTTCCGCCCTGCTTGAAATCGACCTGTCTGCGGATGGCGTCGTAGAGGTTAACCTGGCCATTGACCATGTTATCCCAGGTGGGAGCACTCGAGTCTGACAATTGCCACGTTAGTTGATTCAGTGAATCAAATCAACTCGACAACCACCACTGCGGCATATATATATATATATATATATATATAGGGGAAACCTGGAGAAGCCTACCCTCGAAATCAGCCATATATGTATACACATCACTGTTCAGCGCATTAACCACCATTTTCCGGTCCGTGGGGCCTGTGATTTCCACACGGCGGTCAACGAGACCCGGGGCCGGAGGGGCTCCCTTCCACGCATCGTTTTCACGGATGTGCTTGGTCTCTGGGAGGAAGTCTAGCAGGCTCCCTCGGTCCAGCTCTGCCTGGCGGTCACTGCGTCGCTGAAGAAGGGCTTTCCTGGTGGGATTGAACGTTCGGTGCAGCAGGGCGAGGAACGCGGTGGCTTCCTTGGTAAGAATCTTGCGGGTTTGGTCGTTGAGCGGACCGAGGATTGCAACGTCCTTGAGGAGGGTGTCGACATATGCCATTGTGAAATAGCGATGATGATTGTACAGCGTGTGGAAAGGATTGCTTCTCCTGTATAGTTTTATTGAAGTGATTCCGTCCCTTGAGTTCTGTGAAGCTGAAGCGGTTCGGTCCTCGCTTGTTACTTTCCTTCCCCTTGCCGGAGAGAGATCGAAAAGATCATACAGCGAGCGGGTTTCTCTCTCTTTTTTCCCTTTTTATTATTTTATCCAGCTGAGATTGTAGCGTATTGAAAATAAATAAATAAATAAATAAATAAAATTAAAAAATTAGAAAAATTAAAAAGAGAGGAGTGTTGAAGATGCAGCCACCCGAACTGGGCCGAGTGTCTGGTATTTATTTACTCCAACTTTGGCCGAATCTCCCCTCTCGGGATAACGTCAGAACCTCTCAAAGGCGTTATAGTTAACTAGTTGCCGCGGCACATTGCAGCCAGCCAATTTGTGGTTTCCCTGGGGCCAGTCAAGAGCAGTTTTCCTGCACCTGAAGATACGAATATGTCCCCGACACATACATACACACAAACCCATACATACATACATACATACATACATAGTTATAGAGAGCAAGTCTTCTCGTTGGACTGTCCCAACAAACTCGGTCGAGGGCACGGTTGCATTCTGTGTCCCAGCCAAAAGCCTATTATCGGCAAAATAGTATGGGTGCGTGGAAGTTTATCAGGGCCGAAGCTTGTGACGAATGATGATGATGATGATGATGATGATGATGATTGATGATGATGATGATGATGATGACAACGAACAACTTAACTTAGCTGCCCAATGACCGGTGGCTCTCGGCCGAAAGTGCAGTATGGCTGGATGCTCACAGCGCCGATGTATCCTGCATGTATCTCCCCCACATTCCATGCCCACACGACGCACCAAATTTTGCCTTGCCTCGCTCGCCTCCATATCTTCTCGTCTGTTCCCCTTTTTTGTATTTATAATGTTCATCAAACTGTAACTAGTGACAAGCCCCACAAAACATATAATAATAAGTCTGCCAAAATTCACGGAGCAGGTTACTGTCTACACCCGGGACACGCACCCCGTCTGCATTATTTAAAGAAACTGTTGGGAAGAGCGGGATAACTATTCTGTGCAGAAGTAACTACATATTCCGACATTCTCCGGCTGCCTGGACAGACAGACACCTTGGCGTAGTTTCGTTATTAACTACCGAACAAGAGCAGTTAAGTTTCAACAAGAAAAAGAAAGAAAGAAATCCTCCGCTGGGTCGGAGTCGAACCGACGACACCTGGATCGCGAGCAGATATTACAGTCCAGTGCCATAAACCAACTAGACGACCAGCGGCGGATCTGGTGTCCGAGGATCCCCGGTTCGGTATTCTCTATATCCAAAAAGACATCCAAGAAGACCCTTGGAGTTGAATTGAACCCCTTGGATTTTTCCCTGCAGTCACCATTAAATTGGAGTTGTAGTTAACTGTGAAGTTATGTATGGTTACTTCTCCAACAACACCCTTTGACCTTAAATTGTCTTCCTCCTCTCCTTTCTTCCTTTAAAATCAGGCGGTAAAAGTCTATCCCCAAGCCATCCGCCGCCCAAGTGTGGAGAACAAAAACAACCCGACGACCCCCATGCCCAAAGATGTAACCAACGCGGCCATCGAGCTCTCCCCTCTTCCCTTCCCGCAAATCTTCTCCAGCCACTTTGGATCAATGTTCTCCTCCGACAGATACGGGCTGAAATCGGAATTAGGATTCACATCCGGCTGTGCCTTTCCCAGCCCCAGAAAGCTCCACATGTTCCTCTTATTCCTGTAGCTGATGGTATAGTCCTCGAAGCGCGGCGTCCTTATCAGCTCAAGATAGTGCAGCGAGCTGCCAGGATACACCGCGTTAACACGACCCGTCTCGTTGTTTCTGTACCAGCTGCGGCAGTCGTCGGTCCAGACGGTGTGCTTGACCCATTCCTGGGCGTGCTCGTTGAAGGCATCTGTGATATCTTGGCGCGGCGTGATGCTCTGGATATGCTCATTCTGGATCTTGTTGATGAGCTTGATGGCGTAGTTCCCGACCTCCATGAGAGGACCCATGACGGAACCCTGTGGGGCAGCGTTGGGGGTAGGGTTAGTTTGAACTCATTTTTTTATTTTTTTATTTTTTTATTTTTATTTTTATTCCTCATGGGGAAATCAATCCCTCTGAGGGAACTTACATTCTCGACAGGCCACGTCGGGCCGATGAAGGTCATGTAGTTTGGAAACCTAGTTCCTGGTTATTATAAGATTGCCCTCGGTTAATTCAGGGAGTGCGGAGGGAGGTGTGTGTCACCTACCCCGGAACAGCAAGCCCAAGATATGCTTCTGGACACTGCGCCCATTTATCCCGGAGGTCAACGCCATTTTGGCCCACGATCGGGAAACGAGGCCGGTAGGAGACGTCAAATCCCGTGGCACACACGATGGTGTCCACCTTCCTCTCAACCCCGTCCTCTCCCACGAGCCCATCCTCTGTGATTTTATTCACGGCTGTGAAATGAACATCAACGTTGGGCTGTTGGATGGCTAGCATGTATGGATCGCCGGGAGTGATGCGACGGCATCCTATACTGAATTTGGGTGTAAGGCCTGCATATTGGATTTTTTTTGGGGTAATTTAGCCCCGTGAAGGTGTGTGGTTTCACTCTCGCTGCTGCAGATGTCGTCGGGCTGCCAACACACCTTTCAGGAGCCGCTCATCTTTAATCCATTCCTCCATGCGGGCCTTTAGCGCTTCCTGTGCCTGGGCCTGCGATTCACTGTCTCGGTAAAACAGAGACCACATCTTGTTAATTTGGTTCTCAAAGAATTTCGACTCTTTGACCAGCTCTCTGGGGTTTTGGCGGAAGGTCTGTCGTTGTTTTTCCGAGTATTCTCCGTTCGTACCGGTGTGCCCTGCAATCTGGACAAACCAGATGGCCTATTTTATTTTTTGTTGTCAGCTATCTCTGTTGCTACCCAACGCCTGGGAAAAGACCGTTCGACAGACCGTTCGCACAAAGATATCAAGATGTTTTACATGTGGTTGCATGCCAGGTACGGTTTGGATGCTTGATGCGCCGCTTCCAATGACCGCAACTCTCTCACCCTTCCATTGTTCTTCTTGATAATCTTTGGGCCACCTTGCCGTATGGATCATCTAACTGGATATTAGCATGCAAAAGCCAACCAGATGGAGGATATATTTATGAACGTATGTATATATATATATTGAGAGATATCATGTGAGGGGGGGGAGTTGATCGGCGACTCGCAATGATCGATGTGGCCAAAAAATAACTCACCCGACCCTTGAACCTCTCGAGGCCCTCGATGTCAGGCCATTGATAGTTGTTAAGCAATCCGCTGCCATTCAAGAGCACGTTGCATCTCTCTTCCGTCTCCCTCTCCGTGCCGTCAGGGGCGATCTGTCTCAAGGTAACCCTCCATTCGCCTTTCTCTTCCTCCCAATATGAGCCTGTTATGAGAGTGTTGAACGTCATGTACTTCCTCAGATTAAAAGTGTCGCACACACGATCGAGGTACTTCCAAATATCTGCAGATTTTGAGAAGAGGTTGGGCCAATCGGGCTAGAAAAAAAAACAGAATACCAACGAGCATAAGAACATGGTCAACTAGAGGAGTTACCAGGAGGGGCAATGTATGGGTCAAGGGTACAGTACATTTGGCGCGAAGTTGTAGGCATACGCATGACTCGGAACATCGCAGGCGCAATTCGGATAACGATTCTCAAGCCAAGTACCGCCAATGTCATTATTCTTCTCATATATGACATGCTCCACGTTCTGGCAATCTCTCTGGATGAGATAGGCCATGAGAATTCCGCTGACGCCGGCACCAATGGTCAGGACCTTGACTTTCCGCTGACGGCCGCCGAATATCACCTCTTTGTCAATTTCATATCCTTGGGGACTGTTCTCGGCGTGGTTCTCTGCGGCATCCATGTTTTGTGGAGTAGAAAGATGGACTGTGCTAGATTTGCATTTCAGGAGTCTTTTACAATGCGAAAAAAATGTATTTCAGATGAGCCTCTTGCAGAAGCCGCGGCTACACGAGAGAAAAACGGGAACTTGGTGAACAGTTCCATAAGTGTAACCAGCTTCGTTTTATATCCCCACAATGATATGGCGTGGCTTTGGGGGGAGCTTCCCCTCACTTGAATACGGATTCCCGGAATATCCACCTGGCGATGGAAAGAATCTGGCCCTCGGGTTTGCGAAGATCGATCGATATGACGAGAACGCTTGTTTTTGTGTATTTTAATTGCAAAAAAAAGAAAGAAAAAATAGTGCCAGACAGACGATCTCTTACCAACAAGACAAGTTACCAAAAGTCAGGGCATGAAACGGAACGTTGTGATTAGTCAAAACATCATTCATTCATCATGACTGAAAACCTTAACTGAAAAGGGAACCATTTATTTGTGGCGTTTGGCCAATGTATATAATAGGTTCATACGAGTCAGCTGGATCGTACCAACCGGCATTCTCATGCAAATGGAAGAAGCCCCGTTGGCGAGTCATTATTTTTAAGGTAGATTCCCTCAGCCCCAGATTGGGATTCTACGGATGTGAGAACATCTGGCGCTGCAGTTAACCCTGGCAGATAGAGCAAATCCATCACCAGCATGCATCGCCAAACGTGACCGAAGCAATTGCCGCCAAAAATAAACTAAAAGGGGCGGCGGGCGGGGGTGAATCTTCAATCGAAGCTACCCCGTAAAACAAGTCTTGCGAAGGACTGTCCCAAGGGGAGCCGTCCTGAGAAGCTTAGTTACTGGCTGACTCCATCATTTTTCAATTTTTCAATTTCCCACCTTTTTGGCTCGCAGAGAAGAAACTGAGGAGAAAGGAGCACTACTCTCTCTCTATCTACTACGGAGTACGGAGTACACCTGCAGATAATCGAGCTACGCACGCTAATCAAGCAAGCGTCGTCCGTCGTCTGTCGTGTTTGCCGAGGACCATATTTTTGCGCCTCTACCAATCAATAAGAGCCCATTTTTCCCCATATGTAGAGTAGTTACTGCGGAGTAATAATAGTGGGCAAGAGAGAGAGATGTACATAGATAGTCCTGTCGAATGCTGTGAGGTCAAGTGGATTGGCTATCAGCTAATAAGCACAGTAACTAATACTAACTACCTGTTTGCTGTCGAAGAAGGTAACTAACTAGTTAACGCGCAATGGACATCTACCAAGCGTTCGATGAACGCCCGGACTGGCGGGCCAGAAAACCTTCAGACACAATTCTCCAGGCTTGTTTCTTTAAAACACATTATTTACTGACCCCAGATATATACCAGAGCTTGCTGCCTGACTGACGCTGAGGCTTATTAATATATATATATATATATATATATATATATCTTGTTCGGACGCGACTCTTTGTCTAGAAGGGTTGGTTGACAGGGTGTTTCGGATGACCCCTTTTTGATTTTTGGAAGTTGAAGAAGAGCAGCTCACGGCGGCGGTATTCCTGGGAACTTGTGTGGAAGCCGTCCATTAAAGCACAGCAAGCCTCTCTTAGTTTTGACGAATGCGCTCTGCTAGCCAATTTTCGCATTAACCCTTCCACACAACATATGGGGATATTTCTGAAACCGCTCCAGGAGCCGGGAAATAGATTCTACAATCCAGGCCATGGCTGGCTGATGGCCCCTTTGATAAATACAGGATGCTAGAAGAGTACGTTACTAAAAAGTTGTCATTGCAATGGCAGACGGAGGAGGGAGGCTTTTCGGTATCGAGTAGTAACAGGTTGAAAGCGTTAGTGTCCCCACTTGTATGCGGTTGGATCCTCTTGGGAAGAAGCTCTGTTGTTGGGATTCAAGACATTTCCCAAGGTTTGAATCCCCTCTTCCTTTGCGGAAGCTTGGAGGGGGAGGGGTTTTGTGGGTCTAGGGGTTCGCATTCACAATAAATCCCGCGAATCGATAAGAACTGCGGGGTTGCGGCAGGAGAGATATATTCTCTGGTGCTCATTATCGCCCCTCCTAGTAACTAACTAACTGGTAGGAGGACATTTTGGTGTGTCGTGAGAAGCGTCACGAGTATAAGAGCGTGAAGAATTGCTAGCAGTAGCAGCAGCAGCAGCAGTAGTAGTAGTAGTAGTAGTACTTTTTGTTGTTGGAAATTGGTAGTAGTAGTAGATTCGTAAGGTTGCTGCTGGGTGGGGTGGCACATGGCCGGTTAAATAAAATCAGTGTCGTCTTTCGGGCTGAACATTAGACCAGTGACGCAGTGGTTAGCGTTCCGTTCTTATATGATTCTCAGTAGTGCCCAGATTCGATTCTGGTGTGGCCTGAACTCATATGACTTTAATCCTCAGTGATGCGGGGGTCGTGGGTTCGAATCCCACTTGGTCTAGTTGAATAACCACGTTGGTCTCTCTTTTTTTTCTTTCTTTTTTTTTTTTTTTTTTTAAAACGCACACACACACACACACACACACACACAACAAACAGGCAAGCAAACAAGCTTTTCTTTTTCTTTCTCATATTGATTGATCAATCCCCTTTTTGATATTCTATTTCTTGATCAATCGACTGACTGACGGACGACGACGACGACGAGGTAAGTAAGCCTTTTTTCTATATCTCTCTCTCTCTCTCTCTCTATTTGACACCGCGGTATGATAAATTGTCAGGCAAGCATGGATGAACCCGCAACCACCACCGCCAAACGCTAACAAGAGATAGTATACATATTTTCTTCCTCCCTGTCTCTCTGCTCTGCTACTTGAGGGCTTTTGTTGTTACATTTATTTACTCATTATTTCCATCCATCATCATCCATCATCCATCTCATAAAAGGAAGAAGGGGCAAGCAAAACTGAACACCCAAGCAAGAATAAAGATAAATGACACCAACCACACGCCATAATACCGGTTTAGAACTCACCCATAAGCGGCAACTCCCTTGAACTCCTCCCAACCCAGACCTTAAACCGCCCATTGACAGGCATAACCCAATTCTGATTAACAACACTCCAGTAACTCAGATCTTTGCGCGTCAGCGACAAGCTCACATTCACAGCTTGGCCTGGCTGGAGCTCTACTTTCTGGAAATTTCGTAGTACGCGGACAGGGAAATCGATAGGGGTAGTAGGCTCTTTTGCCCTGCCGGTCGTGCTGTTGTTGAATTTCGTGTCGCTGGTTGTGGTGGCTACAGTGGTTTTGGTGGGCATCTCCGCCAGAGGTTCATCAACGACGTCACTCGGAAATGAGATATAGACCTGTATAACATCCTTTCCGGTGCGGGTTCCTGTGTTGTTAATGGTGACGGTTACGATGACAAAGTTATCGAAGAGAGATGGATTACCACCCTCACCTCCTCCGGCTGGGGAAGGAGTTTGAGCATCACCGTAGCCTCTAGGATATCTATACCGGGTCTTCCTTTTAACTTCGTTTACGGAGTTAATGTATGGGTATATGTATTTCATCAGTTTCCTGAACCCCTCGGGGAATAAAGCTGATTTGGGATTGGGAATCGTGTTATCATAGGACGGTGGGGACTTCTGTTGTGGCCTAGGGGCCGGGAGGGATGTCCTGTTTCTTAAAGGCTGGAGAATTAGGTTGGAAATGTTGAAAGTCGTATATGATAGGCCGTACCCGAACTCATATCGGGGAGTGATGTTGTTGATGTCGAAATAGCGGTAATCGATAAAGAGCCCGTGAGAAAAATCCTTTTGAGGAATAGGGTCATCGGACTGATAGAGGACGCCAGCATCAGGGCCGTAATCATCCTGGCTTTTTCCCATGGTATATGGGAGCCGGCCACTTGCGTCCAGATCACCAAATAAAATGTCAACCAGAGCATTTCCACTCTCTTGTCCAGGTAAGTTGGCTAGAAGAACTGCCCTGATCCCCGGATGATTGATCCAAGACTCAACAATCACAGGCCCGACAGAATGGATGACTGCCACTGTGCTGCCATTGCCGCCACCACACTCAGTTGCTATAGTGGAAACAAGGTCATCGGTATTCTTTTGGAGAAAGAGGTTGTTCCTATCGCCACGGATGTCTTCCCATGACCGGAACCCTTCCCCGGAAGCAGCATTCGCGAAAACGAGGCACAAGTCCTTGTCATGCATATTTTCGTATGGAACCTTGGAGTTTGTTAGGTAGCCAGATACTGTTACCGACTGTTTGTTGAATGCACTGCTTAGAGCTTTCCATGGTGTTATCAGATAGGGGAAGTCCACAGCTCCACTACCCCAGCCGGACGCCAGGGTTCCTTGATTGCATCCTCTGTCCTGACAGGCGTTCGGGCCATCACCCGCTCCCGCATCTTCTCCATAAACACCGACACGATACTTTCCGTCTGATAATTGAGGGCCATCCCTCGAGAGCGGAAGGAATCCATTTTCATTCTTTAGCAAAATTGTCCCCTCCGCTGCAATTTCACGAGCAAGTGGGCCGTGAGCATCTTTCCCTTCACCTTGCGCATTGATGAATTTATTAACGACCCCTTTGGCATCGTCGTCCGGACTCCCTTCGTGCAGACGACCGATTCCCTCCTTCGTCCAGGACGAGAAGTTTGGCCCTCCATCTCCCTCAGGAGGCGGTTTCGGCCATGAGTCCTGCTTCAACTGGTACCAGGCGGCCACTACCCTCGTTGTCATATCATTCAATCGATCAATTGGCACGGATGTATTCAAAACAGCTTGCGTCAAACGGCTCCCCCAGAGCGAGATCCCATCCTTCCAAGCTAGTCCATCCCCAGGCATTGAGACATCCAAGCCAGCAAGGGCACTAGCAACCCCACTCCGTTGTGCCAACCAGTCTGACTGGACGAAACCCTGGAACCCGAGCTCGTCCTTGAGAATGCCGTTTAAAAGCAAACTATTCTGACACGAGTAGGAATTATTCACCATCTGATATGCACACATCACACTTGCTGCGCCAGCCCGTACACTTTCTGCAAATGGCCAAACATACACTTC